GAGAGGTGTTGACAAGGTGAAGCTTTAGTCGCGAGCTCGGCTGTAGCCTCGATCACGCTGGGGCTCGAACCCACATGGAAATAGGTCCCCGGGGCCGAATCTAAAATATAGACACCCTATCCATGTCCATCGCGCCATCCACCGCCACCAGGGTCCACGACCACCGCCGCCGCACTGGCTTCACCTCTGGCCTAACCGCACCTCTGCTCCTTGCCATACACAGATTCGCAAGAAATTTGCCTCAGGTACCCGCCAGTAATCGCAGCTCTTGAAGGTACTCAACTCCGGCAGTAGCAGCAGCAGCAGCAGCAGCAGCAGCAGCACATCATGTTGATTGCAGGACCAGGTTCATGCAGACATACAGTGAGAAACAAGTGGGGAGGGCGTGTGTGTGGACAAGTCAGCGTGTGATGTGTCTATTACCGGCTCATAGCAAATCAAGCGCGCAATATACCTCGACGGTACGACACAGTGCTGCTGCTGCTGTTGCTGTGCCGCCAGCCTCCGGCCAAAGCCCACTGTGCAGTTATCACTAATCCTCGTACCGTACCGCGACACGAAAAACACAATAGGATGATGCTCCACAAACTACGGCACACGGAAGAGTCACGACACCACAACCGATAGCAACGGACCAGTTAATCGCCCGTACAGCCGAAACAGATTGGTAATCTGCTGGACACATCCCTCAACTCAAATCAACGCATATACTGACACTCGTAATAGTGAAGTGCTCAGCCCCCCTCAGCACCACGACGGGGTGCCGCCGCCGCCACAGCATCACCAACACGAGCATCGGGAAGAAGACAGCGGAGCCAGGCGCCTCTGCCACCTAGGGAAGAACGATAAAGGGAAAACACAAGCGCGTCAGAGAACGTCCCATTTCCTAGAAACAGCGCACTTCTCTCCTTTACCCGTCCGCGAGCCCATAACCTGAGCGGGTAGAAACCTACCGTACGAGCATCAGGCGAGCATGCGGTGGTCGGGCCCTGCATTGCAAAGTCCCGCTTCGCGCAAATAGCGACACGAACAACGGACGCGGAGGTGGGGCTGGCGAGTGGTGCGCTCTTGGCAGCTCCACCTAAGGGACTACTAAAAACGGACACCGGCGAGGCCTTGGCGCTTCTCAACCGTTCCTATCCTTCTCTATCTCACCTCCTATGCACCACCCGCCCTCCTGCGGAAAAACTGCTCCCTGGTGACAGACAGTGCACTCCCGCGCAGGGAAGCGAGAGAGAACTCAGGCCACTACCAGGGAGACCACTTCCGGAATCCTGCTGTGTTTTACGACATGCTACTGCAGGTTTTATTTGAAACCCTTGCACCCGTACCGCACCGTACGTTACTGTAAGGAACCGCACCGTACCGTGTGGCATTCATATCCGCGGTACCGTGGCAGCAGTTGCCGGAAGGCGTCGTTGTGGAGCGATAGCGCGGCGTCCATTACCGCGACGGGCAGCGTTTCCCACAACGAGGTCATTAAACACAGGCACATACTGAGATACACAGCAATCATGCTTGGATGGTGGCTAGCAACGCTAATCCGGACTTTGTTTTAGGGCTGGACACCTTTCCTGAAGGGGTCTGCTCCGCTGCGCTTTGCTACTGTTGCTCCTGCTGTTGCTGTTGCTGCTGCTGCCACCAACCGCCAGCCAAGTACGACTGCATAATCACGCGATACGCGGCGCAGGAAAACACAATTGGCACGGCGATACGTACACACCACGATACGGCACGGATCCATATCGCCGACTTACCGCATGTATCATCTGGAGGGTGCTTGCACCGTAGATACCGCCAAGCGCCGCCGGTCAAAAGGAGGGTACGCGGTTCGGGGAACAGGTGGGGCGGGGCGGGAGGGGATGGTATCGTTTGCTTTGCTACTGCTTTGCTGCTACTGCTTTGCTGCTACTGCTGCTGTCGCAGCAGACCGCCAGGCAGACATGATTGCACGCTCCCAACAAAATGCGGAACTGAAAACCCTAAACAGTACGACCAACCGCAAAGCGCGAGGTATCTTGAAATCCAGGGGCTCATGCAAGGACTGCAGCTCGTGTAGCGCCCAATCGTTGCGCCCTCGGCATTGGTGTTGATATACGGCCGCCGCGCAGCCATAAGGACGCACCAGAGGCAGGCGGGAGGACGGGGCAGGAGGATGGGCGGAGGGGAAGGAATAATCAGCAAGGTACGATGAGGAAGTTCATGAGGCCGTCTTGTTTGGGTTCACGAGCGAAAAGACATGCATAAAATCTTATCCATAATAGCTCACGCATTCCTACAGGTGTTTGCTTTGCCTTGTAACGATCACTGTCGCTGCTGCTGCTGCCGCTTCTGCTGCCAGCCGCCAGCCGAACACGATAGCAAGGAAACGTCCAACATGGCACCGGACAATACACCAGGCGCTGCACAGGGTACGACGAACTGCACTGTGAAGTGCAGTACAGCACGCAACGGCACTGGACGCAACGCCTACGTACCCCATCAAAGCCCACACTAAAGGTTGTCGAAATCATCAGTTCCTGCTGAACCTGTTTGCTTTGAACGCCTAGGCCCAGCATGTCATCTCCCCGTCGCTCCATGTCACCGAGCCCTAACATGGGACGAGACACGGACGAGACACGGAACATCGCACGCTGAAAGGTAGATGTAATTGTCGTCCTGCTCACAGCATTCATCACGCAGATCTTCCAGTTTCTGCCTGTAAGCGGGCAAACAGAAGCAATTGTGAGGACAAACTTTGCAATGTAGTCTTCCTGGTGCTGCTATCCAATTGCCTGATCCTTAATGCAATCTAAACATTTCATAGCTCATGCATTCTGGGAAGACAAGAGACGGACAACTCCAACTTCAACCGTCGAAGGCGCCTGGACGACCTAGGTGCATTACAGTCAAACCCACAAAAGCCTGAGCTATCCAGCTCCGAGCCGTATAAAGCAATAATATACGTGTCTAGATTGAAAATATCTAACTGTTGATATGAAGCTAATTTCGGGCATTTGAGTTTTGGCATGGTTCTGAGTTCTGGCTTCGGTTTTAGTTGCATGTGTTACACGCATCAGCCCTACAGGCACACATGTAAGCCTGGGCTTAGGAAGCGCAGAACGTAACCCCGACTCCCTGCGAACCTGAACCTATCGGCTATTGCAATTTGATCATGCCTTTTCGACGCGAGGAGAAGCCCCAAGGGCCCACACACCAAAGCATCCGCCACCCACCAATTAAAGTAATTCTACGTGCTGCACAATACGCACCCGGAAATCCAATGTACTCCCCGGGCTGAGGGACAACCTCGGCAGGTTTTCTGGTACGACAGTCAACCGCCAACTGCAACAATCGCCTCGGACCTCTTCCAATAGCTGAATTCGTGACGGTATTCTTCATTTATGCACTTCCTTGCCTCTACGGTATATGTTTAAATTTGAAACTGTAGTCAGCCCAACCTTACAGCAACGATACCGGCAGCGTCGCTGCTCAGCTCCGTTCTCCGTGTATTTTTCTCCTGGCAGCCTGAGTTGTGGTGCATCCTATACGCTTAATACGGTACTAGTAAGGAGTAGCATCTACGTAGAAACGGGCCCGGAGCCCAGAAATGGAACGGGTCGCTGACGTCCCAGCACACGGCGAGTCCAATCGGGACCCTTCTGACTTTGCTCTTACCAATAAGAATCTTGTTTGTTGCTACGTGTGCCGCCTAATCAAGTCGCGCAACCAGGTGCGGTGTTTGTTGCGGTGGAGCGTTGAGGACGCTGCTCAGCCGATTCCCTTTTGCAGTTCCATGATTCGGGTTGTGACAACTGCAAAAATCTTTTTGGACCTAGCATTTCATTTGAGGACTACACGACACCAAGCTTCTCGGGGCAAGGACTGAGGCTTTTAAACGAATCAGGGACTTTGTTCTTACGGGCGAGGATGGAGGCAGTGAGAGGATTCGTAAGCACATGGCCTAACAATGTTGCTTGCAAAATGATCGCTTAATACGGTTTGTTATACTCGTAAAGTTGTGTCTTCAGTAATCTCTTCCTACCCCATGTGCACGTGTAATTTACGTGATGATGGTTCGAATTCTCTATGTGCCGTACACAGACATCGCCTCCTTCACCAGCATTTGTGGTCAGGTTCCGCCCCCCCCCCACCGAGTCATGGCCAGTGTTTATTTTTTTGGTAATATATTACTTTTTTGGGAATAAATGGGGGTCTGAGCCTGGAAGAAATGGAATAATTGGTCAGTTGGCCGTACTGGTTCATTACTTCGGCCATAAGTCGCCCCAAATGCCTTCTGCACATGTAAAGCTGAACATTTGGAGCTTATACACTATTTATATATAAAATATTTGATGATATCACCATGAGACGGCCCGCTGTTGCATTCAACTTAGGTGAACGGGGCATTCGTTCATTCTTGACCAAAGCAAACGGCTCAGGAAGTCCGCAGACGCAATGCCCCAAACATTTAGAAGAAGAATTAGATAATACAGAAGACAAGGATAGGCATGCCGTAGCTTGATTCTGACGAGGAAGGGCCACCGCCCCAAGATGTCGCCACGGCACCACCGCCACCTTCAAGGGCGGGTGCTTCGCAGCACGCACCGCTGGTGATTCAAAAGCGCCAGCAAACACAGCGTGTGCCGAAAGGCCAAAGCGATGGGAGCTGGCGGGAGAATGAGGGAGTGCGTCGCTTCCAGGCGCACTGGACAGCTTTCTCGAATGGGCTGAGTGTGTTGTGCCAGATATGGAGGCTGGCGAGGTGCACGACCGTGTCCGGTGCGGTCCCTGCTCCCTCAGCCGGCAGCGGGACATCACGATGGATGCCAGGCAGGCCACACTAAAAAGCCACGAGCTTTGTGAGTGCTGTTTACAGCACACCGTACAGCCTTTGAGGGGGGGGTCTGGGGGGGGCGCAGCGCCCCCCAGCGACTATACAAAAAGGAATTGTAACCTCAAGAAATACCCAGTTTATTACTCTAGGGTATTAGGCCCCAAACGAAAAAAAAACACTGGTCATGGCGTTCCTCAACGACCTCTTCACCATTTTTGACCAGCTGGTGGAGAAGCATCAAGTTTACAAGGTCGAGACCATCGGAGGTACGGCATTGTACGGCATCGTCGTACATATCATAGTACGGAAGCGTACGGGACTGAGGCGATGCCGTTTTTGCATAATTTGGCGGAACGGCTGCCGAGAAGCGTGACTGTGTTACATTCGAGGTGCTCGTATCCTATCTTCATGTTCGATAGCCGCTCTCCTGTCTGGGCCTTTTTTCATAGCTTTTGATACCTGTACCAAACCATCTTTTTCATATTCGCCCATAAGTGAAGCACCGGCCAGCAGCAGTGGCGAAATGTCTTGGTGGTTCTTCTTGGGGTTTTATTGGGGCTGGTTTGGGAATATATGGGACTATTCACTGCACGACCCCGACGCGACAGAGCAAGGCCTACGGGCTACAGGTCGACCACTGGCCGCCAGGGCAGCACCCGGGGGGGCCGTACGTAGCTCCACGTGTATGTAGCTCGAAGCTTGCTGCGACAGATGATGTATTTCTAGGCAAGTCCGCACATCGTTCGTGAAACCCTAACTTTTCACAAGCTTCGCAAGATTTTACTCTCCGTTTTCGGTTTCTGTTGGCAGCGCATGTTGCCGGGCCCTCCTCCCCCTCCTCCTCCCCTTCCCCTCCTCCCCCTCCCCCTCCTCCCCCTCCTCCCCCTTCCGTGCGTGAATCTGTGTATCGCTCTTGCCCTTCTCGCTCCAGTCAACGTTGCCAGTCGAATGGAGTCCACGGGTGTACCTGGTGCCGTACACATTTCTGCGGCCACGCGGGCCTTATTAGGCGCCGCGGCCGACGGGTTTCTTTCCACGGGGGAAATTCCCGTCAAGGGCAAGGTACGGATTGGGGAGTTGGCAGTTGACAGTTGGGAATAGATGTTATTGTTCTTTCCTGGTATTCGCACTTTATTCGCACTGGTCCACATGCCCACGAAGATCCGCCACCACGCAGTTCTTTGTCGGAGAAGTGAGGGGGGGCCATATTCCCTCACTCACTCACTCAAAGAATACCAAGCGCAGCATCATTCGCGTATTGGGGTGTGAAACGCAGTTCTTCATGCAGGTCGTCATCATGTCATCCTTCTCTGCGCCTCCCCCCGGCCTCACCAAACCATGTAACCCATGCGGTTGTATGACGTACGGCGCAGGGGTTCATGCTCACGTAAGTGTACGACCCGTGCGGCGTCGCTCCGCAGCGCTCTCAAACAGTCTCCCGAACTGGATCAGGTGCGGAACAGGAGGGTGCCGCTGTGGCGGGTGCCGCTAAGCTATCGGGTGCCTGTCCTGATCCTGATCTACCAATCTTGACCGCTACAGCCGTGCCGGGTATTGGTAGGGAAGGTCCCCAGGTCCCCGGGGGAGAAGCATCTAGCGGTACACCGACAGAGGCGCCGCCTCCGTTGCCGCAGTAGGCCATGTACGACATGACGTACATGGCACCCCAAGTGGTATGATTGTGCGCGCGTGTTGCAAAAGCGAGGACCGCTCTCTTGCGTGTGTGCCATTCCCGAATGTATATTCGACGTTTGTTGTACTGCAGCATGTACGGAGTACGGAATACGGCATAATACGGATATGGCACGTGTTTGTACAATTGTGTCAGTTTTGTACTTTGGCTCGGTCCTGCGATGTCGGTTCCCGCAGCTGTGAGGGAAGGTGTTTTCCGGGCGCGTGCAGGAGGGTCCTTCAAACCCGCCATGAATATCTAGCTAGCTAGATAGCTAGATAGCTAGCTAGCGGGATTGTGTCTTGTAAATTATTTTGGCGCTGGCACATATTTGTCTTGGCAGGAGTTTGTCACTTGGCTTTGCGAGGGTCGTGGTAAGGGTCGCTGTTTGAGAGAGAGGAGAGGAGAGGGGAGAGAGAAAGAGAGGGAGAGCGAGACAAGTGTCAATGGAGACGCGCATTGGATTCGGTTTGGGGTTGGATTCGGAGCTGTGTATGTACGTCCTGCACATGGGTTAAGAACTGGCAGTTTGGGGTTTGGGCTGGAAATAGGTTTGGTCACATGACACCTGCGTACGACACACGCCATGAGACACGCACACACACACACACATGGTTGCTTTTCTCCGACAAAACACACAATATAAAATGTTCGTACTTACTCGTTACGTTGAGGACTGCATACTGCGACGTTCGGCTTGGGGGATATACGGTTGTACGACAGCACGGATGTACGGATGTATTCACAGATTTGTATGGACGGCGGCTGCGGTGGGAGCGAGGAGCGAGCGGTGTGAGGAGGGAGCGGCATTTACTTTTATCACTGTCGGGAGAGCGGCGGCGGAAGCTTCTTTATGATATGTCGCGGTCTTCAACGCGGCTCCTGGTGTGGGGAATTTTGAAGTCAACGAGAAATCAACTAGAAGCCCTTCCTTGGCTTAGTCTCGGCCGCTATTATATATGCACCTTCTTTTATAACTAACCCATTATATCGGTCGGCGTTTCGGAAGCAGCGAGGATAAATAACAGCCATGCGCAATAGCAGCTGTTTATAAATAATATAGCAGTAATCGTCGTTATCCCTCCCGTTCACCCATGCCCGTTAGCCCCATCCCGCCGCATCTCCGTTCCCTACCACCCCAGAGTGTCTGTACGTATGTGTGTATGTGTGGTCAAGCCGAGTCAAGCCGCGCTCATTTCCGTGTTAAATTTTTCGACGTCAGCATATCACTCTGGTAGCTGTAAAGTATATGGTCTTCAGTGTACACGGCTTGACTGATGGCTTTTTAAGATGTCCTGCGTCCCATGGGTCCCATGTCGTTCACTCCCTTCCAAGTGCCTCCCGGGCGGATGCCGAGTGGCTGATGAAGAACTTGCCGACGGCAGTGGGAAGAGATTCTGTGTGGGGAAGACATTTGCCGTTCAAGGTCAATAAAGACCGTACGGAAGCCCCAAGAAACCTAGCTAATGTGAATATCTTTAACATGTTCACAGCCTCTGTCTCTCTATTTACAGCAGAAAAAGTATTGCAGCCGAAAGGTGCCAATGCAGAAAATAGGTAGAGTTCGCCTGTGGCAAACCACCTTTTCAACACGCATGTAACTTGATATCTGTATTGGTGTATTTCAACGTTCAGGTAGGGCGGCATACTCGTGCTGCTTTCTTATATGTTCTGGATGGTCGTTAGTGGTCGCATAGACACCACTCGTTTGCAGGGTAGGGTGGCATACGAAGTGGCGGACATTGTTACCACTGGCACCCCGCTGCACCTCCATCCGTCCTCCCAGCCGTCGACCACCATCAGCACCACACCTCATACAGCCGCTGGTGCATCGTCAAAAGGTCAAATGATGCTCCTGTTGCTGCAGCCTCCCCGCCGCCTCACCCAGCCGCCGCATTTGTTGTTTCTGTTCTGTGGGGTTTGTGTGCAAATCTCGTCATCACGTTGTCATCATTGCCACCGCCTTCACCAGCTCTGTGACTCTCATCTCATCATCATCATCACCGCAGTTATCATCACCGCAGTTATCACTAACACCATTATCGCTACCGTGTCACTGTGCCACAGGTCCAGGCCATGGAGCTGGATACCCTCACCCCGGAGATGCCGCTGCTGCTCAAGGAGATGGGCATGAACTACGACCCCGACCGGCTGCCGGACGCCCACTGCAGCCTGTGTCCCTGCAGCCCCACTTTGCACCATCACAGCTCTCACCCTATCCGGGAGGCCCTCCACCTTCTCCACCATACCGAAGCGCGCCCAGAAAAGGTTCGGAACGCCACCACCACACATGCACCAAATTCTCCCTCACAACTCCTCCTTCTCAGTTCTCCTCCCTCACCAAATGCTTGGTTGGGGCCAATGCGCCATGCCAGCAATGGTGCTCGTGCATGCGCTGTGCAGTGCATGCATGGCCACTGCAAATGAATACCGGTACACACCGCTTCACGAACACTAAACGGTTATAAATCACAGAAGTTAACTTACGGATTATCCCAAGGTTATTAACGACTTCTGTTGTCCAGTCGCCAAGCACCTGTACACCGCCGACCTCTTCACAGCCGCCAAATCCCCCTTCCGGAGTGCAGAAGTCCTCCCGCCATTTCGCTCCTCGGCATCCCTCTTCCAACTCCCACTCCATGCCGCCCTGCTGTCCTGTCGCCATACTCCTCTGGTCCTTTCCCGCCAGCGCCTGCACCTCCTCAGGTTTCCCCCTCCTGGCTTCGTTGCACTGGCCCTCCGGTGCACCTGCCTAGAGATTTGCTCACACACATCTGCACTTGCGACATGGAAACCTGGCACGACATGCACCGTACTCTCTCTTGCTCCTATCCGAAGAGCCTTTCGCTATAAGCCACAGCCCAGGGCCCCGTGCGGCAGCCGAGGACCTGTCCCAGCAGCACCAGCAGGACCAGCACCAGCGGTGGACAGCTCCATCCCTCAACCCCATCTCCGCCATCCTCATCGCCCTCTACGTCATCGTGTACAGGTATACCTCTCCTGATCCGCTGTTATTGTACCGATGCAGTTTTCTTTCTAGTTGCCGATAGGGTACGGCAGCTTCTGCAGTACGGCACTGCATGCATGGAAGGCCTCCTCGAGTTCATTCACCATCTCGTCCATCACAAACTGGAAGCTGAACCAGCGCACCTGCGGGTCCCCGAGAGGACGGTGGGGCCGGGGGGTGAGGGGTGAGGATCCATTAGCACACGGTGCTGACAAGGTCAGGTCGGGTAGTTGCCCTGTTGGGTCGCATGTGCTCTGCAGCGCGCTGCCATGAATGTGCTCAGAGCCATGTTGGCAGTTGGCAGTTGCGTTCCGTTTCAGTTTCTGCAACGGTGTGGTGGCGGCAGGGGACACAGGAAACTCGTGACCTGGCATGTCGGCTGCATACCCCCCGTCATCCACACCAGCCACAGCTGGCCCACCCCGGGTCCCGGCCCTGGCCCCCTGCACTTGTCCAGGTCCACATCCTCCCAGCCGCACACACGCCCTGTACTCAGGACCGTGTACCCCCGGACCTGTGAAAGGTACCCCTCCTCTGTGGGGGGGAAGGTAACCGGCTCCACGGACATCGAGGAAAGTTGCATGCTGCTCAACCGCCGGAAGTCATCTCGAGTCGAATCAAAAACCAGCAGGCTCGAATCCTTTCCACCCGCACCGCCACTCTGACCCACATCAAAGCTGGCCCGAGGTCGTGTGCTGCCGCCGCCAGAGCCCGCACCTGCCGCCGCCGCTGCGGCCACCCCAGCCGCCACCTCGACTGCCGTTACCGTTGCCGCTGCGGCGGCTGATGGACCCGATGCCTTGCATGTTGGCGAAGGGGATGATGATGCTGGTGTAGGCGAAGTGGGAAGGGTTTGTGGGGAGTCCGTTGAGGCTGGGCTCCGTAATGCTGCTGCTGGTGCGGAGGCGGCAGCGGTGGTTGTAACGGCGGCGGTGTGTAGCTCCCGAGGGTCCGTTGGGCGGTTGGCAGTAGCCTCATCCGCGGCGGCGGCGGTAGTGGCGGTGGCGGCGGCGGACGACTCCGCGGGCCTTGGGGTTCGTTGGGGGCAAGCAGTCAGATGTGAGGGCAACCCACATCAGGTAACACTGTGACGGGCGGGCGGGCTGATGCCGCAAGACATGCGGATGTAGGGGGTAAGAAGTCCCTTGGCACCTTTCCTTGTTAAGATGCATCATGCGTCACGGGCCCCGGGGGCAGGGCCGCTACCACACACGGACACACACATATGCGGCCCATAGGACACGCCTGCCACTACCACTGCCACTGTACCCCATCACCACCTCGTACCGGCTGGAGAGCTGCTCCATCCAAACCGGGGCGGCGGCGGAGTACGCGTTAAAGGGCGTGGCCTGAGGACGAGTACGAGCTGCCACCTGCAGCGGCGGCGGCAAGGCAGCCGGCGCGGGGACGTCCGTGCCGACGACGGTCTGCAAGGAGGTGCGAGGCCTCGGTGGCAGTGGCACCGGGGACGCCGTTGCTGCAGAAGCAGCTCCAGTGACATTACCAGCGTTGGCATTCGTTGCTGCTGCTGCCGCTGCCGCTGCCGCTGCATCGCCGACTGGGAAGCCGACCAGGGCGTCAAACTGCAGGCCGCCAAAGATGTCCACGGACTCCTGCTGCAGCACCGCCGCAACTGACCCGACCACAGGTGCAGGAGCCGCCGCCTTCTCCACAGCCTCGAAAGCAGCCTGCCGCTCCGACTGTCTTTGTTGCTGCTGCTGCTGCTGCTGCTGCTGCTGCTGCTGCTGCTGCTGCTGCTGCTGCTGCTGCTGCTGCTGCTCTTGCAAGTACCGCCGGGGTGTCAAGTGCAGCGCCACCGCCCCACCGGGAGTCCCGGACAGCAGCCTGGAGATGAACAAACCGCCGCCGCCGCCGCCGCCCGCAGGACAGGTACTCGCGGTGTTAGTGTTTTTGCCGCCGCTGGGCATGCCGCTCAGAGCGGTGGCGGCAATGGCACCGGCAGCACCGGCAGCACCGAAGCTAAGGCGCTGCCCCGGCCGGCCGCTGCCACTGCCGGCCTTGGGCAGAAAAGAAAACTGGGTAAGGGATCCGCCGCCGCTGCTCCCGCCGTTCGCGGTGGCTAGCGGCGGCGCCGTGGGCACCAAAGATGACGACGACGGCGCCATGGCCGCCAGCAGCGGCTGCTTCTCCAGGTTGGCTGCCTCCGGCGGTGTTGCGGCCGGGGCACCGTCGGCAGGCTTCTGCACCCTGCAGTACCCCAGTACCCCGGAGCGGTTCGTTGCAGTATCGTACATATCAACCGCGCGACTCGAGGGAAACCTCAACCACCTCGTCGTCCTCCTGCTGCTGCAATCATCCTTATAGCAGGCCACACCCCAACAGCGTGCTGCATATCATTCCCGCGACGAACTCACTCCAGACAGGTACTCCTCACTCAGCGCCATACCCCGGGGGCCTCACCCCCGCACCTCACCCCCGGCCCCCATCACTCCCCGAACTCCCCACCGCGAGATTCGCATCTCCAAGGACATCCGCCGCTCGGCCGCCGCCCTGGAAGTCGCCGCCACATGCTGAGGCGTTCCGCACCCACCACTCGCTGCAGCGGCAACCGCTGAGGTCGCGACCAGGGCCGGGGTCCCTGCAGCTTTGGCGGTGGCGGCGCTGTTGTTGTTGGTGGTGGTGGTGTTATTATTGGTGGTGGTGTTGGTGTTGGCCCCGGTACGTCTTCGCTTCATGTTAAAGATGGCGTTACGCGCCCTGGCGTCACTAATCTGTGGTGGTGATGGTAGTGGTGGTGGCGATGGCGATGGGAATAGGGAGCGGGGGAGGGAAAGGGGGGAGCGAGGAGTGGCAGGTGGGGAACCTCAATGCCGCCAAACAGAGGCAGTATAGGGGAGCGGGGTACGTGAACACCAGCACCACCACTGCTGCATTTCTAGAGCTCAGTCAAATGCTGACAACTCACGAACACGTCAGCAGTTGACGTGGACGTCAGGGAGGCATGTACGTGTGTGAATTAAGGGGAGGACGTCGCTCACGTGTATGCACATATGTATGTCTGCATCTATGTGTCGGGGGATTATGTTGGAGGCCGGGGGGGGCGGGGGGGGGCGGGGGGGGCGGGGGTGTCGTGATGCGGCGCACTGAGGCTCCACAGGGGGAGAGAGAGCCGCCGTCCGCAGTATTCCACTGAAACGAGAAATGCACACCAGCTCCTGACGGCTTGCGAACGTACGGCAGTAATGCAGTACGTCGGGGCTCCCTTCATGCGGGTGCCATGCACCCATGGGCTCTTGCCGTACTGCGCAAGAGCGATCTGCGGGATGCTGCTGCACGCTCACACGTTCAACACGCGGTTGTGGGGATGTTTGTACAGCTGTCAAGCTGTGCCAGGATTAACGTGTATTGCCGTACAGCGCTGGTCCAACAAACCCCTTCCTCTTCACAAACCCCCACTCACCCACCCACTACCACACAGGCTCAATGTCCCCTCCCCTCTCCCCCCCGAACCAGCGCACCTGCATCAGGCAGTCTGTCACCTGGCCCAGTGTCAACAGGTTATCAACCTGGGGTGGGGAAGGTGGGGAAGGTGGGGGGAAGGCAGCGGGGAGGGGGGGATTAAGTGTACAAGTCAACTGCCTGCGATGGGGGGAAAAGACGGGGGGAATGAGTGGTGTATTAGCGGGCGCCGTACATGTGGCCTCCTGGCAGCCTGCCTGTCCCACTCTGTACCTCACCTCAATGGTGGTGGCTCCAGGGAAAGCTCGGAGGAGGTCCTGAAACACGTGGGCAGTGGGCAGTGGGCAGTGGGCGCCAGGACGGCGGATAGCGAGGCGTCTAGCTCGTGAGACTTCATGCCTCCCAAAACCCTAAGTCTACTCCTGAATTATAACACAGCGCCCCCGCAGTGCTTTTGTCCCCAGAGCTCTCACCTTCATCGCTATCACCGCCACCACGTGGACACTACTCCGAACACACACACACATCGCGAACCCTCAGTGAGAAGAGCCGATGATGAGCTCTGATGATGTACACAGTGTGATGCTAATAACTGTGGTGCTCAGCGGGCGCCCACCTCACCTCACCTTTTCGTGGGTGGGCGCCCCAGCCGGGCCCCCTAGTCCCCCTAGTCCCCCCATCCCTAGTCCCCCTAGTCCCTAGCCCCGGGCCCATAAAGCACACACATACACACACACACACACACACACGCGCGCGCGCGTGTGCACGTGTGCACACACACACGTACCAGTATGGCTCGTGCCTGGTAGTCCGCCAGTTCACTGAGCAGCTGCTTGGGGTAGTAGAGCCGCAACACCGCCTCCATCTCAGAGCCGAAACCCTCCTCGAAGTCCAGGAGAAGAGTCTTTGGGGGGGAAGGGAGCCACGCATATGTCTGTGTGCGTGTGCCTCTGTGTGCGTGTGTGCGTGTGTTTTTACATGATCTTCAGAGCCGCGATGGTGGTGCACGAACAACTTCATACCTAAGCGAGCTCTCGTCGTATGTGTGTGTATTTGTTATTTGTGAGGGGTAGGTATGTGGGGGTGATTGGGGGGTAAGACGAACCACTGGCGAATGGAGCATTGCGATTGGGGGGAGGGAGTACCGGGAAACACCAATACGCGAGGCAGTACGGCACATGCGGTACATAAAGGCCGTGCATGATATAAAGGTAGATACATCATGGCGTCTGTGCCGCACAAAACAGGATTGATATTTTGATGTTTGTGCACATGTTCATGTTTCTGTGTGTTAAATGCCATCTACATATGCTGATCCCACCCCACCCTACCCAACAATAACACCAGCACCAACACATCACGCCCAGACTCCAAGGGCCACTCCGGCACTACAAAGCATTAAAGACTCCCCGCCACGCCCCGCCCCGCCCCGCCCCGCCCCGCCCTTATGAAGGCTCTCCCCCCCTCTCTCACCCACAGCATCCTGGCCACTCTCCTCACGCACGTGGCGAGGCCCTCCAGGTCCTTCTTGGGAACCTGCCACCGGCCCCGGACCGGGAACCAATGAACACCTGGCGGGGGATGTGGGGATGGAACGAGGTTTCGGGGCGGATGGGGCGGATTGAGGGTGGAGAAAAGCAAGGGGGGGGAAAGGGGGGGATGTTCACCAAACTCAACAACCGCCGCGTGTCCCTCTCTGCATGCGGCTCACCAAACCGAGCCGCGCACTCTGCACACCGCATCACTCTGCTGACCGACACACACATATGCTGCTACTGGGAATGCTGTAGGCACCAGACCATACGCTTTTGGTTTGTTTCGGTATACGTGTATGACCCCGTGAAGGCTCGGCGGTCATGCGTTTGACTGGTAGCCAAAACCCCCTTTTTATGGAAGCATGAAATATCACAAGTTTAAAAGTCAGGTCGAACAGACAGTACTTACCCCTGGCCGCCTACTTCCCCTAAGGGGGGCTTGGCCAGTGGCTCCCCTGGAGGTCCGGCGTTTGTGGCTCCTCCAACTACCAACTACCAACTAGCTTGTAACCACCCACCCACACTGCACCGCGCGGCATGCCGTACACATACACATCTCCCCCTCCCCCTCCACTCGGCTCCCCCCCCTCAGCACACCCACCAGGCAGGAAGAAGTATCGGCCCCAGAAGTGCCAAATGTAGATTTCTCCCCGGGTCTGTGCCAGGTGCTCGTCCACTCGTCCAAGTGCCGTATACACCGCCGTAAACAGCTTCTCGACAGCTGCCTCACGGGAGTCCTACGGGGGCGATGAGCATGGCCGCACACACACACACACATACATACAAGCATATGGGCGTACAGGCTTAGCCTTCATTATAAAAAAAACATACATACGTATAGAGACTCATCGTGACTGGGCTTACGACGAGGGCGCCATAAGGCCCCTGGGCTACTGCATAAGCGTAATCCCTTCTTCCGCCGTCAGCAACTCCACAAGTACGGCATATGGCAAAGCCCCCCCATGAAACCCAACACACCCAACCCCAGCCCAGCCTCACTCTCTCCTCGTCATGCTGAACGAGCAGATCCAGTTGATTCGTACTTGTGTCGGATAGACCCTTACGGAGGCCGCCGCCGCCGCCGCCAACCCCGTTAAACGACGTCAAGCTATCGGCGCTCCCGCAGCCGCCAGCGCCGCCGCGGCGGAGGTCTTGTTGTTGCTGCTGAGCCCGTGTGCATAGCGCGGGGTCGCTCGCGCTGGGGTGCATCGCCGCCGCCGTGGCAGCAGCTGCGGCAAAGGACGCGGTGTCGGAGCCGTTCGTCGGCAGGATGGGTGCCGAACCCCTGGCTCTGGCGGCGGCATCCAATCTCTGGTGCAGGGCGGAGTAGCCGTGGCGATGGGGCTTGCGGCTGGAGCGCCTGGAAGAGGAGGTTGGAGGCAGCAGGGTTACATGCGCATGCAACGAATTGAAAACAAGTCACCGATGCTGGCGTCCAACAACATCAGCTGCCGAAGTCCAGGAGGGGTGGCGAGAGAGCAGACCAAATGCCAGTCACCAGTGCTAACAATGTCAACTGGAAGGCGCTGCCCGAAAAAGGCACCTCGGCACTGGGGATCGCCTAATGTGCTAAACACGACCCACCCAACCAACCAACCAACCAACCAACCAAACACCCAACCAACCAACCAAGCACGCATGCATGCTGCATGCATCCATGGATCCGTGTACGATCCGAACATTTCTCTTTTTGTTCTTCTTCGTCCCGAAGTCCTAGTGCTCGTCCTAGTTACGCTGTCCTTCGTGGCCGGCAGAGTGCTCGGTCTGATACCCCTTGCCATGCGTGTATGGACTCGCCCAAACCTCTCTCCGCTACCCCCCCTCCCCCTCCCTGGCCCCCCTTGCCTCCCCGGGGCCCCCCATCGGCTCCCAATCGTTTTCATTCTGGATCCTGCATCACCTGCCTACATTCTGTCCTGTCACGCCGCTCAGTGTCCACACCTGAAGGTTGTGGGATCGAATCCGAGCCATGACACTTGAGAAAATCGTTATAAAGTCTTATAGGATTTATATGGCATGATGGCACATCATTCACGATGCCAGCATTTGAGTTGGTGAAGGCGGATGGCACCGGAAGGGGCGGCGACGATGCTGCTCGAACAAAACGTACGGAAGAATCCTTCATCTCCTCACTCTCACTTGTATGGCATAACCCGACAGCAGCCAAAACACGTACGTGCGCATTGCGGCCTTAGTTCGGTAAAATAGTCATCAACCGGTTTCCGCTTTCATCAGCAGCTCGTCCATCTTTCTACGGTAGCTTGCTTTCATAGGAACACATGCATACATACATGCATACATACAAACGCACACAGCCCGTTCCCCACACGCACCATGAACGGAAGCAGGTACACGTGAGGCGAGGAGGGGCACGGTGTGTGTATGTGTATGTGTATGTGTATGTGTGTCTGTGTTTGTATGTCTGTGTTTGTGGGGTTGAGGGAGGGGTGACTCAGGGCCGGACTGCAGGTGCGCACCTCCTGGTTGAGGTCGTACAGCGCCTTGAGCGCCTTCTTCATCTCCAGCAGGCAGTCTATGGAGGCGCTCCTGGGCAGTACCACCACCGCCAGCAGCACACTCAGCAACCCGCCGGCGAATATGCCGCCCACTCGTAACAGAGCCAGAAGGAACGCGCCTGGGCCGGCAAAGCGCCAACAAGGTGGCATGCAAGGGGGGAAAGGGAGCCACGTTAAAGCCAGGAAACAAGGAAGGAACTGCCGGAAGGCGTCCAAAGATCGATAAACATACGGGGAAACAGCGGGTAAGGGGGGAGGGGGAAGAGGGGGGAGAGGGAAGTTAAGGGTTTCGGCACATAGTGAGACACTCCCGGGGGGAAATGTAGATGTTCGCAACGCACCAGACTGGTATACACACTGATTAAACTGGTAAGTAGCGGAGGTAACATTACTCATCTGGATAGCTCCTTTCCCCTGCAGTGGATGCACACACACACACACACACACATACATACACACACCTGGTATACACGACACGGCGAGAACTGAGAAAGCCCGCCGGTTTCGTCATCACTCACCATCACTGGCAATGCCAAGAGGCGAAGCCGGTCACCTGCCTTACCCGCCTACCTGACCTACAGCAGTCCACCCGACCCCCTCTGCCCCCAGTCAACAAAAAGGCCTGGAGCCCCACGGATCATCCTGCCCCCTTCTCCACCTCCCTCACCACCCCATCAACCCGCCGTACCTTTGTCCGGCTTGGCGCCAAAAGCCACAATGATGTACGTCAGCTGTACGAATCGTACCAGCTGGTCCAATGAGTGTTTGAATGCCAGGTAGGTAGTTCCCCAGATGGTGACTCCGGACATGAGGCTGATGAAGATGCCACCGCCAAAGGCACCAAATACGTGGAACCTGAGTGACGCCAAAAACACAGTACGGCAACTTGTACGGCAGGGGTATAACACCGTGTCACGCGATAGTATTTTCTTCTCAAATGGTTTTTTTGGGGGTTTCAACCGGCCATGAAGTGCTGTCGGTTACGTTGGAGCGGTCACGAATGTGGGGGATGCACTGTTGCAGTATCTTGCAGACCGCGACTTGGGTACTGTACTTCAGCTTTGACTGACAGCTGCCCTCAGTGGCCACAGGGCTGAGGGCGCCGAGGGGGGGGGAAGAGGGAAGGAGGGGGAGGGTGCTTCCAGGAAAAGGGGGAGCGGCCCGGTACCATGCACCAGCACCAGCACTACCCGCACTACCACCGCCACCTGGCAAAGGGAGTAAGTGCGCGCACAAGTGAAGAAAATGGCGCCCTGACACCACGCGACCAAGTTGCTGTAAGGAATATGCTTCAAACTCAATCATCTGTCTCAGGATAGCACTCGGGACTTGGACAGTGAGGGGCCCAAGTCGCAGGGCTCAGGGCTCACGTTGAGGTGGGGGGGAAAGACGAACCACGAACGAGTGAAGCTGCTGCCAGGGCAAGAGTGTACCAGAAGTATATAGCTGACCAAAAGGCGTTCTTGACGGCGGCGACCTCGGGATGATGTAGTGAAGATGATGTCGGACAACTACCTACCTAGCCGCCAAGACTAAAAAAAGCGCGGAAGAAAAGCAGTAATGCCAACCCGTAAAGAAGTAAAGGTGGGTGTAGAGGCGGCGGAAAAGTAGTAAAAAGAACTGCTGATGTGAAGCTAAAAAAATAATTTTTGCCGCCGGCCTGGCGGCGGCATTGACGAGGTTTGGCGAAGAACTGGCTGATTAGCTGGTAATAAAAATCTGGTGGTATGCAAGTGAGGTGGGGGGACGGAGGAAGGAAGGAGGAGGAGGAGGAGGAGAAGTGAACCGCACGCAACATGCAAAGAGGCAGGGCAGGGCGAGGGACGATTGGGGAGGGCTGGACACGGACGTAGCACACACGTGTAAACACGCAGCGGGGCTGTCGGCGTAGGCTGTGGTGGACGGCTGGGCGCTGGCCTGGGCAGCACACCCACCCACCCACCCCAGGGTGAAGCACACGCAGCCGATGAAGCCGCCCACGGCGGTGCCCAGCAGGCGGTCAAATGCAACCTGCGGGGGTGGGGCCTGGGGGGTTACTAGGGAGCCAAAACACGATAATGCAAATAACGCGAGTGCCACGCGAATGATGCAAGTAATGTAAAACACCATTAGCAGCCGACGTGGGAGGAAGGGTGAGCCACGGGTCACAAAGCCCACGTCCGGAGGGGAGAAAAGGGCGGGGAGAGGAGGAGGTAAGCAGCCCTGCGCGACCAAGGAGCGGCCACCGCTCCATACCCATCAGGTTACCAAACCCAAATCCAGATTCAAACCCCACCGACCCAAACCAACAGGCGGCCCCGAACCCAAATGAAACTCAGATAAGCCAGATTCAGATTCACATAACCCCATTACGAACATAACTGACGCGAAACCCGCATGCAGGCAAGAACCAAGCTTGTACCCAACCCCAAACTCGACCACCAAATCCAAAATCCAACCCGCATGCAAAAAACAAGATCAGATCCAAAAGGCCAAAGGCCACCGACTCTGATTCCATCCAGCCAACCCACTTCCTGTATCCGCAATGAATGTAGTTCACAAATCTAGAGTCCACAGCCGCACAGCCAGCCGCACAGCCAGCCCTGTCGCCCCCGGCCCCAAGACCTCCCCCCACACACACACCTGCGCTACCTTCCCGATGAGCGGCGCCGTCACCACAATGCAAGTAATGGCGGCCCAGTTGCAGCTCTGCCGAAAGTTGGAGGCGAACATCTGGTACTCTGCGTACTCGCCATGTAATGTACGGCGTACGGCATACGGCAATGGGACAGGTCAACATCACTGTGCAGAGATTGCAGAGATCACGAAGGAGCAGAGTCTTTAGCGGAGAAGGAGGGCGTGATGTTGTTCTTGTCGAGTTGGCTCAAGGAGACATTAGTTTGACCGGGATTAAATAGCAGCGGAGCGGTGGGCTGACGGCGCCAATGGTGTTGTATGTGCACGATGAAAGAGCAACGCCCAACGCGCCCGCCTTAACCCTATCGCGTGTCAATAGAAGAGGGTATCTTCGATCGTGCTTGGAAAAGGCATGGGGATAAAAGCAAGCGGGAACAAAAGGGAAACGATCCCCGTATCAGCTCCATCGGATTTTGTATGCGCAGACACACCGGACAGGACCACACCGAGGGGGCGTTAAGTGGAGTCGAAATAGGGCATCGCAGTCTACTGGGAATGTGAATCTCGGTGTTTCAGTGAACACGGAACACGGAATGTAAAACAGGGAACGCCTCTTGCTTGTATAGCTGTGCATGTTGTGCATAACGGGGCGAGGGAGGGAGTGTTGCGGAATGGATGCTGCTGATCGTCTCGGGTCGCCTCTAGCGCCTCTAGCTGTTGACAATTTGGAGGATGGCCGTACACACCGGCGGCGGAGTGGCGAAGCTGCATCTGCCTGTCGCACCGCACGTTATATCCTTACCCGGGGGGAATTGGGCGCAGTGACCCAAAATACCGAAGAAGATCACTGCGATGCTCAGGCGGGCAGCCCTTCGCGTCCAGTCGGGGACCTGGAGCCATGGGAGAAAATTGGAGAAGCGCGCATCGGCTGGGCTTGTGCATCGACCCATGCCCAAAAGCGGAGCCGTGGCGAACAGCTGGGCCCAAGCAGGCTGGACAGCAGCAACGATGAATATAAGCTGCCCGGGTTTGTGAAAGCATGCAGCAGAGGTGGCGTGGCGCAGCGGGCACCAGGCCGGATGCATGTTGCCAATAGCGCACGCATCGCACCTTGCTGAAGTCAACTTTGATCTTGGGAATGGACGCCGCGCGGTTGCGCAAGCCCATGGTGACACGGTGCAGCCCAGCCTGGACATGGATGGCTGTGAAGGGGGAGTGTGGAGCCATTTCCGGAAAGCAGAAAATAAAGGTGGTTGGCCGGTACCCGACCACCCGACTGTGGACCTCAAGCACGTATAGCTTGCGGTAGACGACTAATTGGTTACATTTCAGAGAAGATATGATGAATATGCAAACCAATTGCAAGAAACTGTCCTAGCGACGGGCGCAGTTATAAAGGTGTACAGAAATGACATGTGACAGCGGCTTCGAAGTAAAAAATGCACAAGTTAACACCGAGTATTTGAAGTCAACGACATATTTTGCACCTACGAAATTGACGGCAATATCGTACAACTGGGTTCGGCTGGATACCGTGGATGAGTGTTCAGCCCTCCGGTGGCAATAGAAAGATTCTCTGTTGATGACTGAGCAAACAGCAAATTCTTTTCATTGCATCGTCTCTCTGTTAAATCATATTGCGTTGTTGAGACCTTGCATTCTGTTGAGAGCTTCTATCTAAGTAGTCCAGGCCGACTGTAATCATTGCATTACTGATTTAGTGTAGTCAATTACGCAGGGCGGCCCACTGGGGGCTGCGCTTCAGAGCGGGGAAATGGTGGCTTCAGAGGACCTTTGACACAGTGGCCGCGGGCAGGGCCGCAATGGGATTCAGCTGCTTTCCGTGCTGCTCTGCCCCCCTCGTTCCCGATGACCACACAGAGCTTAGCAGGGCAGAGGTAGGCAAGGCGCCTCCCGGGTTTCCTTGGACCTGTCGCACGTAAGGGATTCCTGAGGCTGCGTATGCTACCTTGCAGCTTAAGCGGCTTTATGACCGCTCAATTGCGCTGAATGGAGGCAAGCTCTATGTGCACGGTGAGGGCTTCGGGCTTCCTGCTGGGGTGCGTTGCGGTGTGTTGCAACGTTGCTGGTCGATCTGCGCAGGTATCTTTGCACGTGCGAACACACGCAACAATAATAAGCGAGTATACCCCAAGGTGTGTCGACAGTATGTGCCCATGTCATTTGGTCGCTTATCCCTCGTTTCAGTTCTATTGCTGCAACATCGCTGTTTTGTTATAAAATACATTCGTGTGTACTTTTTTAAATGGCCTACAGCAAATCCTTGAGCGGGAGGTCTCGCGGTTCGAGTCCGAGCACATTCTGCAGGGAACGGCGCTGGGAGAATTAGACCACCCTAACTATGCATCCAAGTACTTCAAATGTCTAAATCTGCCCAACGTTAGCCATCAGGTGAGGCCAAATTTTGCGCAGAGAGGTGTGATGCCCGCGACGAGAGACCCACCTTCTTGTCCCTTTCGGCGAGCTATTTCACCCACACAGGAAGAGAACACATGGCACCGTCTCTTGCATGATGCTCATGACTCAGCTCATACTGCATCAACCTCTCCCCGCTCGTTTAATTCCGCCCTCCCCTCGTCCGCCAAAGGTCCTAGAGGTGACATGGAAGGGGGACCAGCTGTGGGGCACCATCGAGGTGTTGCCCACCCCCTCGGGATTGCTGCTGCGGGAACTCTACTCCCGGGTGAGCTCTACTGCCCGCATTCCCGCTCTCCGCCATTCCGTCATCAATCCCCGACCACCACCTAAGGCGCGCCTGAACACATCAACCACTAATAACCACCACCTCACCAATCGCCATCTGCAGTTATGGCCATCGACCCAAATGAGCATGTGCTCGTACTTTCCAGCCCTTGAGAGCCGCAACCTCGAGAAACGCCCATTAATAATGGACATGCACATCTTCACGCATTTCACAAAACTGAGCTATGTGCGTACGTAGCTATGTTTTACAAACTAAGCAGCGAGAAGGCTGCCAGCGCCGGCGTGCACGTGTATGTGCCTTATTATGTCGTCACGGGTCCGTGAAGGTGCCTTATATATCCCCCCGGACCCTCTGGTCGCCGCCAGGGTGTCAAGCTGGGTGTGTCGTCGCGCGGCTGGGCTTCCCTGCGCTCGGATCCCAGCTCCAAGTGCGTCTTTGTGGACGATGACTTTGAGCTCATCACGTTTGACTTTGTGACAGAGCCCTCCACGCGGGGCGCGTACCTGGCGCCAGTGCAGCGGAGGTACAAACGCCCGGTACCGGACCAGTCCAAGGTGGGCCGGGGAGCGTGCGGCAGGAGTTGGGGGAATCATTTGCACGGAAACAAGGAATGAACTGCCGTCGCCCAGGGGGAAGGATGGGGAAGGGGGGGAAAAACGAACTACGAACGAGTGAAGCTGCTGCCAAGGATAAAGAATCAGAACTGACTAGTGGGAAGGAGGAGGGGGGAGGATCACTCGCCCGCCAGCAGGCGGATGGTCAGTGCTGCCGCCCCGGGGTGTAGGGTTGGGGTGGAGTGGGGTGGGGGTGGGGGTTTTAGAGGAAGAAGGCCTGGTTAGTTGGTAGGTGGCTGCGTGTGAGCGTGTGCGCCTCAGAAACTGGCACCTAAGTTAGAGGGAACACCTTTTGGCAGCTGCATGTTATGTTTTGTTAGTTGCATTGGTTTGCGTCTTCACACGCGCGCGTGGGCGTGGGCGGTGCCGGTGTCCTTTGGGTTGGGTCCGTTCGTCGCTCGCCTACTTTTGACAACTCCTTTTTCGCGCTGTGTCTGTCTCCCGCTCCCCGACCCCGCAGGTTATTGCCATCTCGCATCTGGGCCATGGCGTGGTAGCAATGGAAAAGGTGGCGCGTGTCCCTGGGCCGGCGGTGCTCGTGCAGCGGATAGCGGACTTGCAGGTGAAGCGGGAGGGACCCGGGTGCGATAGAACACGGGTGTTCCTGGACGCGAGGCCGCGCCGCCTTGAACCGCTCTATATGCCATCAGCCGACCTGGTTGGTGGTAGAGCAATCGAGAGCGGTCCGCGACCTCAGGGCCGCACCGCATATACACACGAGAACGAAATGAGGCATTCAGGGCATTCGCGCGCACCCAGGCACAGAGGATGGGAGAAGAAGGGGTACCGTAGACCGGTGACATGGTGGCGGCGCAGGGGTTGACGCCGTGCGGGATCTGGCAGGCCTGATGGGGCCTGCGGCGCGGTGTTGTGTGCTCGAGCTCGAGTTCCTTTGATATGCGATTAGCAATGCCGCAATTGGCATATTGGGGTGGCGTTGGGAGCTCTTGGCTGTAAGATAGTGGTGGGGATAACGTTGGGTAGGACCGTTGTGGTGGCGGAGTGCACAACACCGGCTACGGATGCGATACGTGTTGTGTAGGGAGGGGCTAAACCCCCCGTCTAAAGGCCGGGCAGGAGCAGCCACCGCTAGCCAGCCAGAGTGCTATCGCTCGGGGGGAGCGCCCGGGGGAGGGGCGTCAGAGAGACGTAACTGACACAAAAGGCCGCAGCCTCTGTGCGGAGCCGGCCCAGTCGATAGACATACATACAGGACGCCCGGCGGCCTATCGCCGGGTCGGGACGCACAGGGCTGGGTCGCCGCACGCAGCGGGGGTCTCGACTTGCACGTCCCTCGCGCGACATGTCCCACGTGTACATTAAAGCCCCGTATGCCAGGGGGGCCCCTCTCTTGCGGCTGCGGCTGGCTGCTTCGGAGAGGGGCAGCCTATCTCAGAGAGAGATGGGCATGCCGTTTATCGTTATCTTCACGTTCTGCTGCCGTACGTTTGCAGGCTCCCCCCCCCGTGTTTGCTGTTTGGCCCCCCCATCCGCCTTCCCTCCGTCTATTTCTCTCATCCTCCCTCTCCGGTCTTCCGCCACGGGTTGGCATTGACCCCGCCTGCAACCGCCCCGCAGCGCGCTTCCGCAGCGGCCGTCAACCAAATGCTGTTGCCCGGCGCACCTTTGGCTTGTGGTCCGGGTGTGTTACAGCAAGTGATGCCTCCCTCCTTCAAGCCTAGCAGCCTGGACAATCTGCTTTGTTACGGGCACTATGTCGTGCACCAGGTGAGGAAGGGACCACGGCCGGGGCAGTGACGTGGCGTAAACTTGGGAAGGGTGGGAGAGGGGGGAAAAGGGAGGGGGAACCTTATGACGCAAGAAGCGAAGAAACACAGAAGAATCGACAACATCCTAGGAACGGCGCGGGGCAACTTGGGGGGGGAGACGAACCCCACGTGAACGAGTGAAGCTGATGCCAAGGAAAGACTGATGCGCCAGAAATAAAGAAGGCATAACTAACCAGTCGGCGGTTGTGAAGAAAGAGGGGGGAAACTGGGGGGGGAAAGCTGGGGGGGAGGGGAGGCGGTGCACGCTAGGAGGAAGGAAGCAAAGCAAAGGGAGAGCTATGTTTGGCAAGGTGGACGAGTCGGGGGAACGGGGGGTTGACGGCAGGGCTCCTCTTGCGGACGTGTCTGTGTCCGGTGTTGGGTGACGTGTATTGTTTCTAGCCGGGTGGAGATTATTACGGTATGTGGAGGATGGAAAACGGCAGGCCCTGTTGAATGTGGCAGTGGTAGTACCTGGGATTTGCCTGTGGCGATGCAAGATGGCTAGCGGAGGTTCGTGCCGCTTCCTCCCCTCTGGCTGCACCGCCCGCCCGGCCCTGCCGCCCGCTAGCTCCTCGCCTCGTCCTCGTGATGGGGGTGGGTATATGCCGTACCGCCGTACGTGCCTCCCGCCCCATCTGTTGTCTCAATCTGACCCCCTGACACACTCTTGTCCCCTGCCCTCCCCCTCCCTGGCGCTCAGTCTGCCCCCTACCTGGACCGCGAACAGCACGCCCGGGACTACAGAGCCCATCTGGTCATATTCACCGCGCGGGCGCATTTGGCGGACGAGCGGATGTGTGCGGGGGTGAGGACGTGGGACATGGCGCAGGGGTGGGAGTGTGGGGGCGGAGACACAGGGCTAGAGTGGGCGTTTAAGGCTTGCACAGGCCAGGGGCCCTCGTGGGCGGGGAAGACCGAGGGAGGGGAGAGCTGTAACTTGGAGAGGGCATGAACCTCCCATATGCCGCCTGGTTGGTGGCCCATTCTTCAGACCACCTCCCGCACTCGCGAGTGCGGTGGTGGAGGGTCGACCACCACCCGGACCACCACCTGCCGCCGACCGGGTGCCATGTCCCCACTTGTTATTGAAAAGCTTGGGAGCACAATCCACCACGCCGACCGGCTCACTCTCAAATCCATCAGATATTTCAAATCCTCCCGGAGAGCTTTTTCCTTTGGGAACTCCTTGTCCGCCTTCAACTGCATGGGTTAGCGGTGTCGTGTTATTGCCCCTGTAGTGCGACCCGGATGACCTGATGCTGTTGCTGTTGCTGCTGCTGCTGCTGCGACACATGCTCGTCCCGCAGACCATGAGTCGAAGTGACATTGACAACGTGATCCTGAACAAGCTAGTGACCAAGGACGCGTTCGACCCCGCGTCCACCTCATTTGCCACGCGTTTGGATCAGCCAGCAGCGCGCTTTGGCGGCATCGGCGGGGCTATGGGCGGAACTTCCGGCGCGGGCGCCGCCGCGACCCTTGGTGCAGACGGCGTCGGCGTGCGCATGGTGGGCGGCGGCATGGCCGCGGCCGCGGCGGAGACTCAGGGCCCGCCGGGCTTGGATGCATCGTACGCTGTCGTACACGCGGCCGCTGCACAGCGACCTGGCGCGACGGGCGGCGATCTAGAGTCGTGGGCCATGCATCCGCACGTCCTCAATGCGAATTGCTGCGCGCCAGATACTGCGACCGGCGGCGGCGGCGGCGCCGGGGCTGGTCTCGCCACGAGCTCGGCGGCATCAGCGAATCAGCAGCGACCAAACCACGCGGCGCCGGGGTGCGGCAATGGAGCAAATGGCGGGACGGCAGGTGTGGTCAGAGTTCTGCCAGTCGTGGTTCCTGCCAGCGGCAACAACACGGGCGCAATGAGCAAGCAGCAGGCGGGGGGCCTCAGGCCGGGGTTAGCCGCCTGCGGACCGGGCGGGGGGGCCTTCAGCGGCAACAGCGGTGAGGATGAGCAGGTGCGGGCGTGGCTCAGGCAGCTACCAGGCGGGGAGAGCCTGGCGCCGGGTTTCCTGGAGATTCGCTCCTCGCTCGTGAGCTTTGCGGAGTTGTACCAACTCCACCAGAAGCGCGTAGAGGCAGCACTGCTGAAGCAGGCGCTGGCGTAGACGGCGGCGTAGGCGTAGGCGTAGGCGTGAGCATCGCAGCTGTGGCGGCGTCTTCGCCGGCTGAGCAGCGGCCGCCGCCGGCGCAGGCGGCTGCAGGTTCAAGGGCACCCATTCCATATCACTTTTCAGCAGAGAGGTGCAAACTGGAAGATCGAGTGTGGGAGTGTTTTCTCCGGCTGCCTCTTGGATCCGGGGCGGATACAGGGCCGCGCTCAGCAGGCGTGGGTTCGGAGCCTCGGCGCGCATATGACCTTGTGACGCAGTAGAAGCACGCGGCCTTGTGCACATGCCCGCAATCATAAGCATGCACAGCAGGGGCAGCCCAGCCAGAGTGCATCCAGCCACCTAGCCAGACCGGTCCGCAGAAATGGGAGGTCCATCGGGCGGGCGACGCCACTAGCATGTGCGCTGTCGCATGCGCCACTGCAGCCAGGGCAGCGTATTATTATCATTACGCATTGCTCCTGGCTGGGGGCCCTACCCTCTCCATTTTCAGTGCAGCGTAGCGTGGGCGCGGCTGCCGCCACCGCCACCGCCACAGCGGGGGACATGCACCCATGCATGCCTTTACAGGTAGGTAGTCCTAGTGAACTTAACAGCTAGCGGAGCCTGCGGTGTGGTGCTGCCCCCGGCGCCGCGATGTGGCAATGCGGTTGCCGAGATCTCACACCGGCATGGAATCCCACGTGTTCAAGTCCTTGCCGCGCTCAGTAAGGAAAGAGTTCGGGTGCGTGGCAGTGAGGTGCGAAGGACGGCGGGTGGTCGGCGCTCGTGTTGGCGTTTTCTTTTGCCGAGTGGTGTTGGGGCCCTCCCGGGCGTTGGCCGTGTGACTGTGGCCATGACCACGTCCGTTGCCGGTTTTTAACCCCTGGATGGACCGAGATTCGTTGTTTTGAGGGGGATGGTGCGGCAAGTGGTTTCGGGGCCAGTGGCGGCCCTGATTTTGCTGTGCTGCCTTCTCTTTGCGGCTGCATTCCGTACCTTTGTTGCGTGGTGGCGCGTGGAGGGGAGGGGGGTAAGGTGCGGGTCTCACATTTGAGCGCCGCAAGGGTGCAGCCGGGGGGGGGGGGAAATGGAGATTGGAGGTGGGCCTTACATGTGCATGCGACAGACTCTCACCCCGGGATTCGCCAGGAGAGCTCCGTCCGGGGAAATCTGCCAGGCGGTGGTGATGGTGGTGGTGGTGGTGGTGGGTACTTTCTACCCACGAAGCGACGGACTGAGCGACGGTTGGCTTGCAGGACTTGGGGTTTCGTTGCGCTGAGGGGGGGAGTTTCCAAAACTGTAGCCGACGTGGCTGCACGCATCGTTGCTCGTGATGGAGCTGGCTGGGCTGGTGCGGCTTGAGAAGTTGCCGGGTGGCAGGTTAAAGCGTTGTTTGTCGAGGGGGTGAGGAGCAGAACGGGAAATAGATTTGGGCCGGTTCAAATTGTTCATAATTGTTTTCGGGGCTGAGTTTTGGCATGATGATGCCAGTGGTGGCAGGGTCGCATCCCTTCCGAGAAGTGTGTTTAGGTGCGTGGCATGATGGGCTGTTGGCATTCTGTAGGCAGGAGAACCGTATAATCGTATATAATAGCTAGCGCAGTGCTGCATGCGCACGGGGGATGCAGTGATGGCGTTGAAAGCGTGATCTGTGGCTGGATAGGCTTTGTTGTTTATGGTTGTATACATGCAAAACTGGAACAGGGCGAACAGGCGGCATTTAGGGATGTTGTCGTCCTCGAGCCCCGTTTGCGAAAGTAAAAAAGTAAAGATTCTGCAGTCTGAGTGTATGCACAGGCGCGCGTGAGCACATAATTGTGAGGCAGTGCATGATGATCTGTTATGGATGCATTGGAGGCAGGATTGGTCTGGAATGTCTGAAGTATTATTGTCGCACGTCGGGGTTTGAATGGCGCGACTTGCAGGGCGGTGCGTTTTTCCCGGCAACTTGGTGGCACCAGGTACGCGTTGCGTAAATTGATCTATTAATCGCTGGTGTGGTAAAGTTTTAATTGCCAAGGCGAACCGGCGGTAAACTCAACAATGAACGCCCGCATCCATAGAATCTGAATTATCTTCGAAATCTTTGGTATCTTTTGGTATCTGTTCTCACAGCAACTTGGATGATAAGCATTGTGTCTTGCAGGGCAGGACACAATGCCCCAGAGGTGTTGCACTGCACAGTCCCTCGAAGTCATATCTGACTGCAAAACATACTTTCTTTCTATGTCGGTTGGTTGCAGTCATAGGATGGCCCCCATCTCTTCCCTATGGAGCTTTGTCAGAGTGTTCCTATGGGGCAAAGGAGCAGGTTAGCCTACGCTGAGAACAACGTTTCCGCCCCGGTTGCAAATAGAGGACGCCCAGGCAGTGGACGTGAATCCTGCCTCTCGCCTATCCGTTCCTACGAAAGTCAGCACGCAGAAAGAATGAACCAGTCATGCGGCCCACATACCCCACGTGCGCATCTAAAACAACTTTGTTTCCCAAACTATTCCGGTTTTGTTCCCGACGCAACTGGGGTTGCTAGGCGAATTACGGGGAAGTTGACGCCCAAATGGCGCGTTAGGGACTTGCAGACGCGCCTAAGATGGCCTAGAGCCAATATAACAAGGACGGGTGGCGCACATAACCTGTGAGCCACACTCAAAAACCACATCGAAGGCTGGCGAAATACCACTGAAAAACCCGTCGTCTTGGACCGAACACCTAGTCGTGGGGTTACGGCATTGGACGTCGGGTCCATCCTGTCGTACCAGATGGCAGGGTGTCGTACTTCTGTCGGAACTATGGCAGACGACAACTCACACGGTGCCAATCTGAAATGAAAACATGCACAGCTTTGAGCGGTTGGAGGTACAGCGCTTCCTTGTTCGCGTGACAGATGCTCCCGGGAGCAACGGCTGCTTGGGTGCTGCCATGCAATGCAGCGCGTCGTCTTACGCAGTGCGACGGCAAACGCCCCCACTGGGCCAGCACAGCAAGGATTCTACTCATCAGAAGCGCAAGCTTTCTGAAATGGCTGTTGCGCTAAGATGAGACTCGTGCGCTAGCCTGTTTTTGACTCGTGTAGGAACCCGGTATCGCCTTGGATTTGGATCTGGATCTAGAACTAGATCTGGACGATGGTGGATGTCCCCTGGCTGGCGGATGGGAGTTCGGCGTCGTCACCGGCATCTGCATCTGCATCTGCAGCGATAGTCCGTGAGGCAGAGCGGTCCTTCTGCCGATGGTACTGGTGGGAGTAGCAGCACTAGCAACACGCGTACCTACCTACCTACCTACCTACCTACCTACCTACCTACCTACCTACCTACCTAACCCCTAGGTTTGTTTTGTTCCGGGTCCAGGTCGGAGTCTCTCGTTCAGTTATTAGGGCCATTGACACAGTCTGACCTTTGACACCTCAACTGCCACGTTCCTCCCAAACCCCTCGTCACCCCGATCTCACGCTGGGGCCCCGGGGCCGGCTGCGCTCCCGTCTGGAAGTAGCTGCTCGTTCAGCCACATCACCCAGGAGCAGCAGCAGCAGCAGCAGGAGCCGTTTGTCGCCTTCGCTTCTCACATGTGTGTAATCGTGATGGATTTTTCTGGGTATGAGGTTGTAATGGACAGTAATGAAGGCGACGCTGGCGGGGCGGGTTTTGCGGGTGAGGGAGGGGCTGAGGAAGGGTGCTGTAGCTGATGTTGAAGAGGGGTGGTATTGTTGCCCATGTGCGCGGGCTTTCCTTAACCCCGTCGTAACTCAGTACTCACGTTCCTCATAGTCCGATGCAAGGATTGCGTGTGGATCGGTCTGTGCCTTACGAACTCCTTATGGAAGTTTTCTGTGCGATCTTCGGCTGATCCATCCTTGAAGCTTTCTGAAGCTTTGGCGTTACGTATGTAGAACCTACGACGCGCCAGCTGACCTGCTAAAGACCGTTGTAAGGCTTTAATGTGTTAACCTCACAGGATAAGCTTGTCCTGCAGATCTTGGTTGAGATGAGTGCACGTCGTGAATTGTGCATGCGCCGTGAAATGTGCAAACCTCCTTTCACCAATGATTGGCTTCGCATGCTCCCTTAACTTGTGATTATTGCAAGCGGAAATTTAAATATAACCTGGACAAGTCTTCGCACCTCATAGCACCTGTTCCCATACAGAGATGTTGCATCATATCTTGATTACCGGTAACGTCCATTACCGCAAATTCCCGATGGAAGAATTAAGCAAAACTCGACTTAGCTTTACCCATACAATGAACAACGCTTGATAATACCGTGTTTGTTACTGGACCCCTTTCCTCCTATGAAGGAATGCTTTCGCCATGACCTTCGCGAGGCCAAGTCAAGGACTTGCAGGAAACAATGGAAGGAATATCTATCGTGTTGTCCGTCTAGGCTGCCATTTCAGGCCGCGTTTCCTGTCGTGTCAACATCTAGGGCTACAGCAGCGCTGTAACAACGGTGAGCAAAAGAGACCTGTCGATTGTTGGACATATTAAAATAAGCGATAATGAAGAGGGTCACTCTTAAGCTTGCTGCGCAGAAGGCCAGCAGCTGACCAAATCGTGGCACTCTAATAAGAACGCTGAGGCCCGGAGCTCTTTGCAACGTTGCCAGGCTGCTTCAATTACAACTCAAGCAAGGGTATGTTTGTTGCCTGAAGCAGCTCCATAGCCCACTGGTGACCGTCGCTACCGGCCTGCCACGTAGGAGGCGAGGACGATTAAAGTTCGCCTGTGTTTTCAGCATCAAGTCCCATTTGGCCAAGTATTGAAGGTGTGCCTTGAAGGAGTCTGAGTTGGGGCACAGGGCGGGAAACATACTGGCGGCGCTGAGTGCTCAGGTCGAGGAAGTCCGTTAATGGAGCAGTAGGAAGCAGTTAACGGTCATGACTAACGGAGCACAAACATTTGCCTTGGTAACAAACTTGGCCGCTTGGGAGCAAGGAGCTCGACGCATAGCTGTCGAGGCGGTGATGATGGGATGCTAAGCAGGCAACCCGGAGTACTTCACATGATTCTTAAGCTTGGATAAGAAAAGAATCATTGCTGATGTTGAGGCTTTCCGCTTGGTTTTCCCAAAACTTTAGCAGCCCATCCCATTTGCAGTAGTTGCGCAACATAATTTGCTCTACGATAATCTCCGCCCTCCCATGATTAAGTACTCTAAACGGCTTCACACTTGTGTCTACGTGGCGCATTTCTGTAGGTCGTTGGCAGTGGGCCAAAGCTTGGGGACTGGCAGCCGGACCACGCACAGACACTACAGTGGTCCGACGGACATCTCTGGACTGCAGACGTAACTCTTGAACCGGGTTCGTACGAGCTCAAGTGCGTCGTCGCTGTTGGTGATAGCATCATCGAGTGGGAGCGGGGCGCGAATCGCATCTTGCAGGTGCGAATCCATGGAGCCCTGTGAGCCTCCTAGCTCTCTCTCTCTCTCCCTCCCCTTCTCCTGCTGCGTCTTCCCTGACGCATCCCTTGGAAGGCTCCTTTTCCCTCTTGACAACTCCCTAAGTAACAAACACACCACGGCCTCCACATACTACGTGCTGCCTTCAAAACTGCTCCCTGCATGCACGTCTCCGCCCGCAACTATACAGCTCCCTTCCACATCGAGGCCGGGGGGGCCGCCCATGCCCCTTGCCTTGCATGCCGCCAACTGCCCATCCATTCGTCCATGCACCAATGAGCGGCAAATTCAAACTGCCCTTTTTCACCACCGGGATGTGAATTGCGTCTATGCGAAATGCCGCCACTGGGATTCGAACTCGGACCCGTCGGACCCAGGTCCCCAGCGGTGTCCGAGGCATCCGTGTGGACGGCAGCTGGTCACGCACAGCCGACAATCGAATCACCGTCACTGAGCCCATCGCCGCCGCGTCAGTCGCGGCGCGACAGAAGCGCGCAGCAGCAGCAAGGCTCCTCGCCAAGGCGCTAGCGGAGGTAAACGCGGCAGCGGGGCCGACCGCGACATCTCTTGCTCAGCGCAGGAAGACAGCGGCGGCAGGTGCTGCAGACGAGTCGGCTCCTTCAAAGGGCCAGGCCGCCGGCGGTGCGGGCGACTCAGCAGCGGCGGAGGCGGAGGCGGCTCGCAAGGAGGACGACGCAGACTCCCTTAGGGAGCTCCGAGCGTTACTGTCACCGTCGGTGTCGTCATCAAAGCCGCCAGCGAGCGCCGGTGTCGTCGCCACTGCATCCCTGACACCGCCCGGCGGCGGCAACGGCGGCAGCGGGGGGAAAAGACCCAACGGTGACGGAGTGCAAGTTGGTGTCGTTGTTGTCGGAGGCGTTGCGAGCGGCAACGTCGAGAGGAGCCAGGGTAGCGGCGGCAAGGAGGTTCAGCAGCAGCAGGCCAAGGACGAGCTTGGGACCTGTACCGAACAGCAGCAGGAGCAGGAGCTAAAGGGGCAGGACTCGAACCAGCAACCTGCAGGAGGAGGAAGGGTCAGCGGTCGCGGAAGTTGGCGTCGGGAGCTGCTGTCGGCATTGGTTGCCAACGGCGAGGAACAACCGCCTGTGCAGCGGCAAGAAGACCAGCAAGCAGGCCGCGAGTCGGCCTCCTCGGCATCCGGGGGCCTTGCAATAGGAGGGGGTGGCAAGAGCAGCAGCTACAGCAGCAGCAACATCGCCTTTGGCGACGGCAACGGCCTGCCAGGTGGTTTATCAACAGCTTCCCAGCAGCAGCAGCAGCGGGAGCGGGAGCGGGAACAACAGCCTCGACAGCAGCTTGCCGGGGGAGAGGGTGCAGCGGCGGCGACAGCTACTGGGGACATCGCTCAGAGCATACGGGAAGCGGCGGCAGCTCGAGGGGAGCCCCTTGGCGCCGCGCGTGAAGTACCCACTGGGAGTGCGGACGGTGCAGTAGCTCCTGTAGTGGCGGGAGAGGCGGAGAGGGCGCCAGTGACGCAACCGGCGACATCGCAACAGGCTTCAGCACGTACAGCTACAGCGGCGGCGGAGGCGGCAGCAGCACCTGCAGCGGACGCGGCGGCGGCGGAGGCGCTACCCTCAACAGCTTCGCCCCCACCGGCGGTTCCGGTGGTTTCAGTTGTACGGAGCCTGTCCCAGAACAACAGGCCGCCGGCAGCGGCCACTGCTGCGGCTTCGGAGCCCAGCGGCGGCGATCCATCGGAGCGCAGTAGTGTTGGCAGCGGCGGTCCTGGCGGTAACGTCAGGTTTGCCAACCTTTTGAGCAGGCTCGGCGGCGTTGTGGGCGCTAACCTGCAAAGGGGCCCAGCGGCCAAGACAGAGTCTAAGACCTCTGGGGTGGTTACGGGTGCGGACGGCAAGGAGGATTTGACCAGGGCTGTACCCACGCCGGTACCAAGCGCGGGAAGTAGCAGTAGCAGCGGCGGCGGCGGCAGCAAGGCTCGCAGGGCGGCGTCTTGGCGGCAGCTATTGGACGACGGAGGAGAGGAGGAGCGGCGGGTACGTGACGGCCCGTCGGCGGCCAACGTGCAGCAGCAGCAGCAGTCAGCAGCGTCTCAGTCGCAGGAAGTGGTGAAAGGAGGGGACAAAGAGCGCAACCCGGAGCCCAAGGTGGTGCAGCGCAAGGTGGAGGAGGAGGGAAAGGAGGAGGAAGGCTTCACAGCGCGGTTCACCCAGCTGCTAACATCCCGTCTGACCGGACAGCCGCTGAGATATCCCGCAGCGGCATCAGGGACTCCGACACCGGCGGCGCAACCGCCAGCAACGCCAGCAGCCGCAGCAGCAGCAGCTACAGCGGTTGGCGGCTTTGATCGTATACAGGCACACGAGGAGAAGGAGGGGGAGAAGGTAAAGTCGGTTGAGGTGCAGGAGGGCCAGGAGGAGGTGCAGGAGGAGAAGGTTGGGAAGTCAGCGACGCGGCAGAGCCAGGAGATCCCGAGCGAGGTTCAGGTGACGGAGCTCCTCGCAGCTCCCTCGACACCCCCAGGTCGCGACAACAGGCCACCCCCGCCGCCAGCAGTTGCAGCAGCAGTAGCAGCGGCAGCAGCTGGAGGAGTAGCCGCCACCACAACTTCCGCGCCAAGTGGCGCCGCGGCCTCCAACCGATTGATCAGTAGCAGCAGCAGCACAAGCTGCAATAGCGGGAGAAACGTTGGAGGCGGTAGGCGTGATAGCAGTAGCAGCAGCAGTAAGGCAGAAGCTGGGGACGCCGCTTCGTCGCCAAGCAGCAGCGATAGGGACATGGGGACAACAAGCAGCCGGGAGAGCCACCCGCGCAACGGCGAAGTGGAATCCGTGAATGATCCGGGTTTAGAGCGGCTCATAGGGGCCTGGGACTCAGCATGGAGCCAAGGCCGGGTAAAGCAGCCTGCCGCAACGGCGGAGGTTCCGAGGCCCAATGGCGGCGGCGGCGGCAGCAGTAGCGGCAGCAGCAATGACGGCAACGGCGCCGCAGGGACTGTGAATGGCGGCGCAACCGCTACCGGCACCAGTGTTGTTAAGCCGTATGTGGTTGTAGCGTTTTCGGGCACCGGCAGTAGCAGTGCCTCCGCCAACGACCGCGCACAGGGGCAGCAGGAGTCGGCAGTAGCTGCAAGCGCCGCCGGCAAGCTTGCCAATGGTGGTGTAGCAGCACCACCTGGCGGCGCCGCTGGCGGTAGCGGTGAAAGCTTGTACAGCATAGCGGAACGGTTGACCGGCGGAAGCGGGCCGTTGGCGGCGCAGCTTTGCAGCAGCGATGAGAGCTCGCCCGGCATTACTGTACGGATGGGTGCGATGGCGGCGATGGGGGTGGATCGGCAGGGCAGTTTCGACAACCGCTCGTCGTACTTGTCACAGTCACTGCTGGCGGAGAGCCTCAACCTCAATGGTGGCGGCGGCGGGGCTAGCGGCCAGGACCCGTCGTCGACGGCGCTCTTACGACAGCTTCGGGCCGCTAACGCGGCGAACGCCGGCGCCGCCGATTGCACCGGCAGCACCGCAAATGGCGGGGGCGCCCCGGCGGCGGCGCCTGTCCCTAACCTGCCGGCGACGCCGGCACCTCCTGGCATCTTGTCCAGCGTGGATGAGGACGAGGACGGTGTCGTGATGCCGCCGCGCCTCCCGGCGACGCCGCCGCCGCCATCGTACCTGTCGGGGGCCGCTGGCAGCGGCAGCGGTCCCGCCGCCGCCGCGCCGGTGCCGCCCTTGCCGGCGACGCCAGTGTCTTCGTCAATCTTGTCCGGCAGTCTCAACGGCGTCGGTGCCGCGGCGGAGGACCTCCTGCGCCGAGCTTCCGATGCCGATGCCGTACTCAATATGTTGCGCGGCAACCTGCCGCTGACGCCCGTCGCCCGCGGGACCCGCGGCGGCGGCGGCGGGCCGTTGTCAATGGCTGAGGACGGGGAAGAGGACGAGCAGAATAGCAGCAGCACCAACAACAACAACAAAGACGCCCGTAACGGCCGCAGCCGCCGCGGCCGCCGCGGCGCAGGTACTCGGTTGATTCCGGTCCTGCCCATTCCGGGCGTGACGGGTGATTCGCAGGTACGTATGTATGTATGTATGTGCTTGCTGGTGTTGGCGGTTGACACAGGCCTGACCCACAAGGCTTGTGTCTGGATATGTTTGTTTGTCTGTGTGTATATTGGGGGGAGGTTGGGGGACGGAATATGTGATCCGCGGCCGTGCTGCTGTTTCCATGTTGCGGTTCACATCGTGCGGTCTTTGCACGTCCCGTGCGTGTGCGCTCTTTCTTTCCCGACCTACTGCACGGCCTCTGCTCCTTCTGCTGCTGCTACTGATGCTGCTGGTGTTGGTGGTGGGCATCGCAGATCGATCCTCTGACGGCAGCTCGCGCCGTTGCTGCGGACGCTGCCCAGGCGCTGGATAAGACACGGGCGACTCTCCAGGCGTTGCAGCAGGGCGCGGGACTGGGGCTCACGGCGGAGGGGCTCTCGGAGTCCGCAGCTCGGCTGCTACAGCAGCTGCCGAAGCTTGATGCTCTGGGCGGCGGCCTGGCAGCCGGCGGCGGCCAGGATGGTGGTGAGGCGAATGGCAACGCCGGCGGCGCCGGGGTAACGGCGCCTGGCCTGCCGCCGGCGGTTTCACAGCTGGCGACTTCGTTGGTTTCGGGGCTAGGGACCGTTGGCAGCAGTTTGACTGACCAGCTGCGGAAAGCGGCGACGGTGTTGCCGTCTGGTTCAGCCGCGTCGACGGCGGAAGCGGCAAACGGCCGCGGGAGTGACGCCAGCGCGAACGGAAACGGGAGCGCCGGCGCTGCGGGGCTGACGCCGATGGCCGCGGACGGCGGGGGTGCCGGGGGGGGCCTTCTGAGTGGTTTGCTCGGCAGCCTGGTCCCAGGCTCGACGCCGTTGCCGCCGGGTTGTGTACGACTGGTGGCCGGTGCGCACATGATCCCCCACGTGGATAAGGTGGACAAGGGCGGAGAGGTGCGCAGTACGTCAAATACGCCCCGCAAAGGAGGGTTGACGGGCTGTCTGTCTGTGTCGGGTTTTGGGTTTCCATCTTGAAGGGGGGTGAAGGTGAAGGTGAAGGAAGCCAGAGGTGAATTCCTCGCACATGCACCGCCGCCTGCGCATCTATGAGAGTACAGACATACAGGTGGACATCCTCTCTCCTCCTCTCACCTCACCTCTCCCAGACCGTCTCTCTCTCCTCTCTCCTCTCTCTCTCCACCTCGAGAAGTCGCGACAGCGATCCGACAACGGCCCCCTCTCTCTGCTCTCTCGCTGCGCCCTGGGATATTCTTCGGCACCTGCGCCTCCCCTACCTCCCCTCCCCCCCACTTCATGTTTCTGTGTGCTCCATGACGCCCCGCGGCGCAGGACGCCTACTTCATCAGCCGCGTGGGCCTGGGCGGGGTGGGTGTAGCGGACGGAGTAAGCGGCTGGGCTGATGAGGGAATCGATCCAGCGGAGTACCCAAGGTAGGGCTTGGAGGGGAAGGTTAGGGGGGTTGTGTGTGTATGTGTGCATGTATGTATGTGTGTGTGCTCTTGGTTGGGTTTTGTTGTGGGGAGGGGAGGGGAGGGGAGGGCGGAGACACGACACGTCACTCTCCGTGGCTGTACTTCCCTGGTACGTGCGTGTGGGGGGTTTTCCCGAGCCTGAGGGCTTGGAGGTGGTGGGGGGTTTGCTACAGCTGCGTGTGTGTATTGGGTCAGAAAGTATTTGTGGAGGTGGGATAGGGCCGCTCCCTTGGCCCTTGTACTCGCTTTGACCACACTGCTTTTGACATGTTCGTGCGCGCCCCCGCCGGGCCCCGCTCATCTGGGATCGTCGCGTGCTTTCCCATCGTATGGCATCGTACGGCACCTGTCGCGTTGCTATGTGATAGGACGTTGATGCGCTTTGCGGCTGATGCGTTCGAGGCTGCCCGCGGCACCATGTCGGCCCCGGACATCATCAGATACGCGCAGGTGAGCGAGTGAGTGAGTGAGTGAGTGAGAGTCCGAGGGGCCTGGTGGCCCGGGAGGGGAACGGGAAGGAGGAGGAGGAAGGGGAGGGGAAGGGAGCAGTGGTATTGAAAAGAAGTCCATCCCTTCGCCCTGCTGCTCATCTCCGCACCTCCTCATCCTCCAGGATCAGGGAGAGGGGTAGGGAGGGGAAAAGGAGGGAACTGATCAGGAAGCGGCCTGTGTTCACATGCGGCGACACATGCGGTGAAGTGGCCCACTGCGCTACCCCTGCAACCCACGCCACCCCACCCCAACTCCCACACCCAACCCCACTCGGCCTGATGTCCACCCCCTCTCAGTACCGGACCTACCTGAAGGGCAGCAGTACGGTGTGTATGGCGCTCATGAAGCCCGGCAAGCGGCTGGAGGTGGCCAACGTGGGCGACAGCGGGGTCAGGATACTGAGGAATGGCAAGGTCATTTTCGGGACGGAGGTAAGGAAGCGGCGGGGGTGAGGCGATGAGATGAGGTGCGAGGGGTGGGGGAGGCAGGCCGTAGATGCAGCGGTTGGAACAGCGGGAGAGGCGGGAAGTGCGGGCGATTTGAGGGAATAATATGATATAATGGGGTTGTGACGAAATTAGTGTGTCGGCACCTTCGCCATCGCCGACATGTGGGGGCCTGTGTGTGGGTTCTGCGGGTATGGTGCAGGTGTCTTGACAGAGCATTGTCGGGGAGGGCTTTCGCATGTGTGTGCATGTCGTACATTGTCGTACACATGCACGCAGCACACATTTGTGTTTGCGGCCCTTTGCCCAGCCGGATTAATTCCCCAACCCCCCCGGCACCCTGGCGCCCGGCTCCTTCCTTCCCTTCCCTTCCTCATTCCTTGCTGCTCCCCTCCAACCCCCAACCCTCCACACACCCCGCGCCCCACACACGTCACAGGCCCAACAGCACGCCTTCAACATGCCGTACCAGCTGTCCCACCCGAACAATGTGGAGGATCCGGACTCTGCGGACGACGCAGACGTCCACATCGTGGACGTGCAGGAGGGCGATGTGGTGATGTTGGCGACTGACGGCCTCTTTGACAACGTGTTTGATGAAGAAATTGAGCAGGTCGTGAGCCAACAGCTCAGGGAGCTGGCGGCGGCGGGACGCGGCCGGGCGCCGATGACGGCGGCGGTTACTGTCAACGGCGGCGGCGAGGCGGCGGCGGCGGCAGCAGCCGCCAGTAGCAGCGGCAGCGGCGGCACCGGTGCTAGCGGTCGCAGCGGCAAGGGCTTGCTGAGTCAGAGCTTCAGCGCTGCCGCCGCCGCTGCAGCGGCGGCGGCGGGTGCGGGTGCTGCCGGCGGCGGCGGCAATTCGTACCGGCCAGAGGACGCAGCCCGGGTGGCGCGAGCGCTGGCGGAGCGGGCTCACCTGCATGCGCGTAACCCCACACAGCGCACCCCCTGGAGTGTTACGTCATCACAACAGCCCAACTTTATGTGGGCCAAGTTCTTCGCCAAGGGTGGCGGGAAGATGGACGATTGCACTGTGTTGGTGGCGTTTGTGTGTGGGCCTGAGTAGTGCTAGAGAGGGAGGGAGGAGCGGGAGGTAAGGAGGTTTCTTTTAATCAAAATGGTGGTCAGTGGTTGATGGAAAAGATCCCTTCAAAGGCTTCACCATCATCACACTGCCTCTGCAGGAGCTGCAGGGGCTGCTGCTGCTGCTGTTAGCTATTGTTCGGCTCTACCTTTCTTCCCCCCTCTACTCCCGTATTCTCTCGACCACCCTCCTGACTCGCGCGCGTGGAACACACGGGCGGAACCAGACGCTGGGCTGCTTGGGTTTTTGCCGAGGCGGCCAGTATAGGTGAATTGCCAATTATATAGCAGCGGTGGTTGCAGCAGCAGCAGCAGCAGTAATAGCTGCAGCTCTATCCTTGTGTTGGCTGACCGGCTCACCGGTTGGCTCGTTGGTTGGTTCGTTGGTCCGATGACTGCTGGCGGAGCTGGGGCTGGTTCATCTGGGCCGCGAAGGTTCCGGAAAAAGAGACGTCACAAAGTTATTCACACAGTTAACAACACGAGACATGCGCTCAGGCAAAGGCTATTTGGGGTTGGGAAGGCACAGCTGCCGATTGATCGACGGGGCCGGCGTTCGTGCATGCGAGCTGTGGAGCGTGTGGCCTAGCGTGGCGTGGCGGTGGCGCGCGCGGCGTTGCTCGTAGGGTTCGAAATCGGAGGAGGCATGGTGGGATACGCATGAGGAAGAGGCGGGGAAGAAATTGATTGATTTTGGGGGGTGGGGAGAGAAATTGTATTCGTCTAAGAAAGGAGAGGATAAGGGCGAGGAAGACGAATGCGAGGGCGGGATAAGAGAAGGAAGAGGACCGCTGGTCTTTGCAAGAAATGGACCAGTTAGGGGCGACCGGGCTTTACTGAATCCCAGTTCGGTTTAGCGTTGGCGGTTGCTGCTGCTGTAGTGCCTCTGACGAGGGAGTGATGGGAGTGTATCGCCGCGCGCCTGTGGTCCACGGTTCTATGTTACTTGGTGTTGACGGACGGGGGTGGTGTATTACCCGCGCGTGTGAGGCGCGTGTCTCGGTTTGACAACCCGCCCAGGTCACCAGCCTGTTGGAAACTGCATCTGCGACGTGGGGCACAGGGGGCAATGGGGAATGTAACGTCCAACAGGGCGTGCGGAGGAAGAGGTCCAGGAGGATGAGGTGGTCGAGGCGGCGGCGGTGGAGGTAGATGGCTTGTATGACTTGTAATTGAAGTGAGCAGCAACAGCATGTGCGCAGCGAAGTGTAGCATCTTTTCCGGCAGCCGATCTCACCCCCCACCCGTCCCCTCCCCACCCCCGTCTTTGGGTGGGGATGGGGCCGTCCTCGGGGGTGGCGATGTGGCGCTGCTCGCGTATCGACTGATCTGACCCTGACCTGATCCGTCGTAATCTAATCTGATGTCGTGTAATCTGATTTGATGCGCTTCTGGGGGCTGGTGGGGGGGGATGGTGCGGCGATGCGGGGAGAGATGCGGTTGCTCGGGATTAGGGCAGGGTTTCTGTGCTCGGCTTTTGTTTGCCTGCGGAGCTTGCATGTGGCGGTTTTCCTGTATGATGGAATTGTTCTGTAACGCTTTTCATGGAAGCAGAGCCAAACACGCATTGTGAACGGGGGGAACGTTATGTTGTTTCGTGAAGGAGTGATGGTGGGTGTGCCGTCTGTTGGGGGAATGAACGTCTCTGTTGGCGTTGCGGCGTGAGAAAGGGGGGAAAGGGCCGCGGCGCAACTTCGCGAAGTTGGCTGGCGGCAGGTGAAGGCGGTGAGGTCAGGAAGGAGGAGCCGCGGCAGGTGATGGCGGCGTGCTGAGCCTGGGCTCCTGACACGAGGGCTCCTTTCTCCTTGAGCCCGAGGATTCGCGCGAGGACTCCTCGAGGGAAGCCCTTGACGGTCCGCTCGGTCGTGGGCAGCGGCAGAGTACGGCAGGCGCTCAAGTAGGGCTGCGGTGTCGGCTGGATCCTGAGCGCGCCACAGCGCGCTTGCCAGGCTTGCAGACAGATATGGCACGGAAAAAGTCTCGACGGTGATATGATGACGATGATTAAAAGGGCGCAATATGCAACGCGCGTTTTTCTGTGTTGCAAACTTCCTAATGGGGGCCCCCGACTGTGCCGTAAACTGTGTATCATATATTCCAACTTATGTCGCACACACAAGGCATAGCAGCCGCTGCCGGTGGTGATATAGCTACGGCGCGGCTTCTTGTATGACAGCGGCAAGGCCCCGATTTCTTGCCGCACGGTGCCGTACGGGACACGACGATTAGAGCTCAACCAAAGCGAATGGGAGACGCTTCAGTGCGGCACTGAATATCCCCCCTGGCTGAGGGGAAGGCGATGTTGGTGTACGAACCGTTCGCCGCGGTGTTTGCTGGCGACCCGCTCTGGATGTTGGACAGCTGTTGGCCAGTGTTGCTGAGTTACTCTTTCTACGGCGTGAAGAACGTGCCGTACACGACGCAACGGATTATGATATAGATGGCGATAGATAATAATGATGATAATGGTGGCGATGGTAAAGGTGATGGTGGTGCCCGCCATGATGATGTGAAAAGTAACGGTTACGGTGACGATGGTGGTGCGATGAAGCCCACTCCGTGACGGAGTGCTGGTCCTTGAAACCCGGCTGCGTTTTGTAACCCCCTGAAACGTCGCGCTCCCAACCGCCCAACTGCAGCTCGCAACACATGAGGGACGTCCGTTTGAGAAAAAATGTCTGAGAAGTAGCCGGTAGGGACCATCTTGAAGGGGAAAGCAGCGGGGCAATACGAAATGCAGTTCTGTTCTGTTCTACAGCTGCAGGCCGGTGCGAATATAGATATGGCCACACTGCAGCCACTTGCAGGCAGTGGGGTTTCCCGTCTGGTGCGGCCGAATGCTGTGTATCCACGAATGTGCGTCGCCGGGGCGGCTGCAGTGAGCAGTGTGCTGCAAGGACGAGGGGGAGGAGGGGAAATGTGGGGAAAGGTTGTGCAGGGGAACGAGCTTGTGCGCGCGAGGGGGGTTGTTGCCTAATAAGAACATTCTTTACACCACATACCGCTGTATAGCGGTGGAGAGAAAGCAGCTGCTTCCGCCGGGTGATTGGTTCGTTCGCAGCGAATGCCGAATGCCGTGTCTTGTCTGGGTTGTGTGTGTAACCGGCGAAGTCAACAACAAAGGTTTAGGGGACTGTTGTGGTGCTGTCTCGGCGGTTTCGCTGTGTTGCGTCTCCTGATCTGTTTTGATGCGACAAGGGATATAGGGTTTACACCCCCCCTTGAGACGCAGGCCGCATCTCCAGACATCTAAATGGACGTACGGGAGCCTTGGTTATAAATTGAGACAGTCCATTGGGGCTGCAGGCGCGTGCCGGGTTTTTAGGGGTGTTTGCCGGATTGCTTTGAAAAAAATGAACCGGCGCCTGGGGATTTCCGGCCCCGGTCCGGAAGCCTGCGGGTAAGGAAGGGAGGGAGACGTTGCGCCGTTGTACGTGGTTACGCACTGTTAGAGAATGGCGCTGCTAGCGAATGGCAAGGATTGGTGTTTTTCATTAACCGCTGTAGGATTTGTTGTTCGCTTCTGTAGACTAATCTCTGCCCTACTAGTCTCTCGGGGCTTCGCACATGCTTCGCGAGTTGTGGGGCTCTGAACGCGTGGCTACAACCACGGCCACCGGTTCCTGTGTAAACTTAGCACTCACCAAACGGGCAACTGGAACTGCAGATCGCGCGAGTTTCCGAGTCTCTCCAGCGAGGTGCTGGCAGGCAATGGAAAGAAAGCAAGAAAGCAAGGAAAGGAAATCAGAGCTAACTGACAGTGGACAGTACCTGTTGTACAGCTTGCCGTACCGACCAGTGCGGGGATAACATGTGTTCCCCCACAACATCCGTCAAGGGACGCGCAGTTAACTGACATTCCATTGGTAAAAACGAGTTCATCCCTGCATCAAGGCTTTACGCGCGCTCTTTGAGCCAGCAGACTGCCTAGCTTATTTTGGTCCCAGCCAGTTGACGAGGTTGCTCGTACAGGCAGGCTCATACTTTGACATCCTCGTCATGATCACAATACCCAGCCTGCTTTTGTGAAGTGTCCTTGATCTCTTTCTTATCCTTGACTGCGCATGTAGCCGAGCTGTGTGGAGCTGTGCTTACTGGACATGCTAATGTAGATGACTTCTTGCCTTCACTTGTCGCAAGTAAACGCATTGTCATGTAAACTACCCGGACTTTAATTTGATCGATGGACCTATGTCAAATGGGCCTCTGTGTTGCGGGTCTGGACCCGATAGTCCAACCGATGATACGGACGATGTGCTTCTTATTGGTCTCCAGGTAGGTAAACCTCTTCCTCCTGCTGAAAGCTGATCATAGGATTCAATATCTCGGGCACCTACTAACAGATGAGTCACCATACCTTGACCAGGGAAGCGGGAAGACTCTGCTGGGCCAGCGTCTAAGAAGTAAGGACCTTTTCCTCCATGCCACGCTGCATAAGCTACCGCAGCCTTTTGATCTCCCGTTTCCTGTTCGCACCCGCATCCTTGGTGGCCCCGCGGCACGACTTGCTTGGACGAGCCAGCGGTGTACGGCAAGGCTCCTGCGGCCTTCCGCGTTGCCACAACGGAAACCAACGGAAGCCAGGATTTCCGCATCCCGACATTTAAGGGCTGCCCCTTCAGGGAGATAAGGATCAGGTGTGTCTGCGAGAGAATGCGCATGCGGCAGGAGATGATGGAAAAACGAGTGCGGGCGCAGATGATTTCATGGGTAGTGCAGTGGGTGAACCCGTAGCAGGAAATCCCGCAATGGCAACCCCACGCACTCCCACCAGTATTCCTCAAGGCAAAATTGCCAGCGGTGGAAAGGAAGGTATACAGACGGGATATCGGGACACTGGTGGACAAGAGGCTAGCCACCACAATGGTGCTGCTCCTGGGGAACCCCCCCTCTGGGGGGCCCCGAAACACAGCAATACCAGGACTACTCCCCCTGCTCCTCCCCCTCCTACTCCTCCGCAACCAACACTAACTCCTCCGTCCCCCAGCCTGAACTGACCACGTCCTCTTTTCCCCCCACTGGTGCCGTTGTACTTATTATTACTGCGCATGATCACTCGTGGGTAGGGAGTGTGGGGGCTCCATGCAACCGCTGTGGTGTAACTGGTATTCCGGCCCCATCCGCGCCGTCGTCTTTGCTGTGGACGTGTCCGACCCGGGGTCGTTGGCTTCTGCGGGGGTGGAGCTGCACCGGCTGTTGCAGGTGGGGGCGGTGGGGGATGTGTGCAGGCCCCGAATCCCCCGGCTGGTGCTGGTGCTGGTTAGGGATGGGATGGGATGGGATAGCGGGGGCCGGGGCGGGAGGGGGGACGACAACCACAGACAGACAGACAGACGTACGAGTGATATCTGCTGATACCGGGGATAGGCGGATGGACGCACTCCACATGATTAGACGGATACTGCATACATTTGTGTTAGGAGTATGTAGGAATAGTTGTTACCAACCAGACCAGTAGCGACCGGGGAAGAAGTAGTCAGTCATGGCGGCGGTGTGGCCAGCGAGATTGGTTGATTGATTGAACGATTGGTGGCGAATGAGTGTTATCTCTATTGTCTATCTAGCTGCCAAGTCCAAAGGAGAAAAAGTGGTGGGGGCGCGTGGGACGGGCTGTTCTGGTGGTGCCGCCGCCTCTTGGCGCCCGGAGAGGAGGCCCCCATGCCCCCCGGGTGTACTCGCCCTCGTTCCTCCAACCTCATCCCCGCCCCCGCCCACTTCCTTGGGCCCTTACGGCTGCGGAACAGTACGTCGGCAGCTGATAATCTGTTCCTTGCATCGTCATCATCATTCTTATTTATATTACTTATATTACTTATATTACTTACAATCATGATAATGATCAATGTATCTCATGGTGATCTCCCCCCGGCCCCCCCTGCCCCTCCCCCTGCCCTTCACAGCAACCCGAGCTAGGCGCCAAGCCCGTCTGTCTGGTCCTCACAAAGCTAGACCTGCCTTTCACCCTGCCCCGCACAGAGCTGGATCTGGCACTGGGGCTGGCTGACCTGGAGGTACTCGGGGGGGTTGTTTGGGGTTTAGGGGAACATGACTACCTAGGGGAACTGGGGCTGTGGGTTCCTTACTCGGGGTTACCTGGTCCAGGGAGGGTTGACGACTGAACCCCCTTATACCTGCCCCACCTCGTAACCCTCCCCACCTTCCTCCCCTTCTTCTTGGTTCTAGAGACTTCTTGGTTCGGGATGCGGTGTCCACTTGCAGGCACTCGCTTTTGTAGTGTTGTGTGGTGTAAATTTCGGCCCTTGATGCCCCCCCCTGTAATCCCGCCCTCCGACCTCCCGCAGCGGCTGTACCCGGATCGGCTGCAGATCATGTCCGTCAGCAGTGTGCTCTCCCCCTTGGAGTGCCCCCGGCTGGAGGCGCTGGTGGACTGGATGGTGGTCGCCAAGGCGGGTGACCCGGCTGTGCTGCTGGCCAAGAGAACTTGAGACAGGAAAGCTGACTGTTAATTGCAGTCAAGTAGCGCTGTTGTTGTTGTTGTTGGTGGTGGTGGTGGTGGTGATGGCATGTAACACTATGGCATATAAAGGTCATCTCCACCATCAGGGCTGTGTGCGGCAGCAGCAGAGCCGGCTTCCCCACCAAGCTGGTAGTGGGCGCTCCAGCAGGCTGTGTGGGCGTGTTTGGTTAATTACTCCTTCTGAGCCGCGCTTGAGCCGCGATACGTAATGTGAACGGAATACCACACGATGCGGCCGTGTGTGTGTGCGTGCGTGTGTGTGTGTGTGTGTCTCTCTGTGTGCATATACTTCAGTAAGGGATGGCGTGCCATCTAAAAAGTAGATTAATTGTGACTTGCAGACATGAACCTGGAAGCAAGGACAGTTTGTGTATCGCACCTACCTGACAGTGCTACTTCCTCTTGGCTTGTCTTGGCATGGCAAGGGCCTTACCTACCTGCATGCGAGAGCAGATAGCTGACTGGCTGGTTGCTGTCGTCATGCTTGAAGATAGCAGTCGGCGATCCACGCGGGTTTGTTGGCTCTGAACGCATATTGGTGGTGGCTTCAGGTGGATTGGCTCACTCGTGGCTCTGTATTAATGAGAATCACACCCCTATCGGGTAACTTAGTCAATATACATATCGTCCATGGCCCCCCGGGCTTCTTGACAGAAAACCCCGCACTCGTGCGGACCTAGTAAACTTGGTATGGACGTACGACAGTACGGAAGCCCCCGCACTTGTGCGGAACTTGTAACTTGTTTAAACTGATAGTAGCATGGCTAGCAGGGGGTGATGTTATCATTATCGCCCCGCAGCCGAAGCAAGCTGAGCGCTGCAAACCACCAACGACCTCGGATTGGTTTATGAAAGCACGCACGGATGCATGCCTGCTTCCGTTCTCCATATACCCGGATACGAGGTAGGTGGTGGGGGCAGTGATGGGGGGGTTTGGTGGTGGGGGCGATGTTTGTAACAGTCCCTCACACAGCCGCTCCTAAACATACAACCTTTTGCACTCATCTGGAAGTTCGTGTTGTCGGATGGGAAGGTCATGTTGGCCACGTGGTTCATCAAGATGGTGGGAACGAGAGAGGTGGTTGCCAACGACCAACAGAGCCACAACTGCGACAGGAAGCCGCACGGGGGTGCCTGCTGCTTTGGCGTTGCCATCGTCCGCATCGTCCCCCATCGACCAGAAGTGCACGTGAACTGAACTGAACTGAGCTCCTTCCACGCGGTCTTTTCCCTGGAAAGGAAAGAAGCCCGCCAGCTCGGCAGGCAGGGCCCTGCACCCCTAAGACCTGAGCTTGTTGAGGGTTGAGCGGAGGAGCTGGATGGGATAAAGTCGGACACTGGAATAGAAGGCGACGCAGTCCCTAGGGAGTGCATGTGATTCAAGGAAGCCGTGAATGATCGCACACATCACATCACATCACATCACATCGCAAACGCTGCCGTCCCTCTTCTTCCTCTCCTGCTGTGGAGGTGTCCATCCATTAAACACACAACTGTGCCTCAATAACGTTATCAACGTGCGGGGCAACTGAGTATAGCGACCATTAACAGCAATAAATCCTGTGCGTGTAAGCACATCGCCTATCTGCCTATCAGCGTACATGTCGCTGTTTTCTGGCAACTACGGCAGCTCGGTCTCGCACTTCCCACTTCGGGATCAGTTTGTGCGATTCGCACTTTCCTTCCGCCACTCTCACATCTCACACACTCGTGTTTCGGCCACCATGGGCCCACGTAGCTGCTCACCCACGTCCCCTCCCTGGCTTCTCCCCCCCGCCCCTTCTCGAGGGGGCCCTGACGTCAGGGCCCCACATACACAGCCGCTACTACGCCCGCCTACGTACACACACACACACACACGCGGTTAGGTGCCTGTAGCAGCCGGTACACAGTACGGCGCTATAAATACGCGCAGAGCGCGACCACCAGCATCTCGAGAGACCTTTTCAGCGGTCAGCTGCTACAGTGCCCCTGGTCAGCGTCAGGCCCGGATCGACCTGTAACAAAAACACACAGCCCGACAGACACAATTCGACACACACAGCTCGGCATACGCCTGCAGAGAGCGGTGTCTGGGGCTCTCCAGACCTTCTGCGACGCCGTCTCGTGATCCTGTGATTCCCCTACGGGGTGATGCACCACGGTGCCTGTCCCCCCGGACCCCTCTCCCCTACGGCGCCCGGTACACGTACACCACCAACCCGTCTGTCCGGTCCGTCTTGAGCAGCGCCCCCTCCCACCTGGGCAGCCCCACCGGGAAGTAGAAGGACGCCACGCGGGTGCCGGGACGCAGAGTGGACTGCACCGCGCGGAGTAGCCGGCTGTTGCCGTGGTCCGACAAGTAGCTGGGGTGGGTGGTAGTGGTAGCGGATAGTGGATAGCGGATAGTGGATAGTGGTAGTGGCAGTGGATAGTAGTGTAGGTACGGACACAAAACGCATACAGACAGACAGACAGACAGACAGGCTGACAGACAGACAGACAGAGAGACAGATATGCATGCATGGATTTCACGGAACCACAGGCCCAGACCATCACCAACCTTATTTTCCTGTCCCCTTCCTGTTGAGGGTTGCAAGCCCCCAAACACCAACCACCTGCTGACCCGGATAAAGCCGGATACCTCTCTTCCCCTCCCTTCCCTTCCCTTCCCTTCCCCGCCACCAAGAGACCCCTCTCCTCCCTATAACCGTTGAAAACCACACCCGTCCCTCCGGACCCGACTAGACCAAAAACCCGAAATCCCACTGACTGCTCGCAGCCACTCACAGCGCAATGACGGTCGCCTCGCTCACATCCGCTGTGGCTGCATCCGCACGTACCACCCGTACAAGGGACTCCAGACCTGCGGTGCGTGCAGCCGTCACCGCGTCACGTACGAGCTCCGGATCCAGCTCAAACCCCACACACCGCGCCCCGCGGCGCGCCGCCGCCAGCAGCACCCGGCCATCGCCGCACCCTAGGTCGTACAGGCAGTCCCCGGGACCCACTGCCGTCAGGTCGAGTACACGGGAGATGACCTGGGGACACGTACGGCATGTCGTACGAAACCCGGTTATCATAACTGCGCTTCGTTTGCGGCCGGCTGCTGGCCGCATGGGAAGTTTTTTCTGTACAAGAGCTTGTGCTGTACGACCTTTTTATGCCGTACGACATCACCAGGGATGAGGGCCACGAGCTAAACAAAGAACACAAGACGCACCGTGTCCGGTGTAGGGTAAAAGGGCGCCACGTACGGCGTGTACGGCAGTAAACACCGTACCCACGTGCGCATCTCAAAGAGGATGCTGGCCAGGGGCCCCTTGTCCAGCACCGAGGGCATATTACAGGTGCCCGTATGTACGTCGGTAGGTATGTCGGCCACGGGATGAATGGGTGTGGTCAGGCCCAGGAACGAGATCTACGGTTGTGTGTGAAAAAAGGAGGGTAACTCAGGCCGAAACTAGCAGGCTGGACAGGGGCGATGCTGGTAGGGAGGGAGGGGGGAGGGAGGGGGGAGGGAGGAGAAAACCGGAAAGCGGGGACGCTGGGCCTCGATGGCCGCCGACAGGAGTACGGCCGGAAACTGCTGGCAGCTCGCAGCTCGCTAGCGCTGAAGGAGACGGTGGCTGCCCGGCCACCAGTAATGCCCAGCGGGTAAAGTGGCACCGGTTGGGCCGGCTGGTTGTGGTAATCTCAGACGGTGTCTCAACGTTTCTTTCTTACAATACGTTTTGCAGTGGGATGCGGAGGTTGCGGCAGTTCAGGAATAGAGGAGCGGTGTCAGATCAGCAAGGCAAACATGACAGGATATGACTTTTCAGAAGTCGCTGGCTGGCTTAAAATATGGGCGGTTGGATGGCTTGTCGTAAGGGCGGCAAGTTAGCACAGTATGTCGTTGGCGGGGGAATTATGCTGGTTGTGCCGAGGGGATTTGTTGGCAATGGGCTGGGTGGTGAGAAAGGCGTCCCTTCGTGCCAGGGACCTGGGAGGGGTGAAGGGGGTGGGGCGCCGATGTCAGGCCGAGCATGGCGACCCGGCAGGAGCTGCCGCGGTCTCCCTGATGGTACTTCGTGGCAAGTCTCACCTGATCCGCGGCCAGCAGCAAGCGGGGCCTTTCTGCGGCGGACTGTGATGGCCCTGTTTACCGTACTCCAGCACCGCGCTGTAGGACACCTCTTAGAGCATCTTTGCGTTAAAATAGTGAGCGGCAGCTATGGAATGCCGTTCGTGGAAAAACACAAGCCTGTTGGGTGCTCCTTTGAATGGGCTAGTCGTGCATACTTGCCGTACTTTTGGTGAGGTGGTATTCCAATCCAACCGATTGCCCAAGAAGAGCACGTTTCTATGAGTACTGCAATGTTTAGGTTGCTCGCGTCGTGCGCACGTAGTTGGTCAAGTGGCAGCGCTCAGAATCGACCTAACTGGGCAAGAAAATGAAGGGCTCAGCAGCAGGATTTGCTATAAAGGCGAAGAAAACTCCTTTTCAGGTGCTTACGTTTACCATTAAACTGCCTGAACCGTCGGTCAGCTCATTAATCCCTCCGGTTGGCGGCAACCTTTGCAGAAACATAAGGAGTTAGAGGAGGAGCGCAAACGGGTATGCGCAACAGCCTTGTTTTACGGATGGTCTGGCCTTGTAGGTCAAGCCCCTGCCGTGAAACCGCCACGCATTGCAGAAAGCAGACGAGGAGGCCGCGCGTGTGTATGAGGAATTCGTCGAATCGTTCAAAACAGAGGATGAACCAGCGAAGCGGGGAGGCACGGGATTCGTGCGCGGCGGCACGGTGCTGCCCGGCAGTAAGCCCACCGAAGGTAAGCTCCGCCCCCGGGCCAGACGGTCAAACCGTGAACCCAGAGGCGAAGCCGCGCTTCGTTCCCCACGCCTCATTCACCAAACACTGATACCATTAACCAAATCCTCGAACTTGAAATCGCTGTTGCCTTCCTCTCCCCATCTCCAATCTCGCCAGCCCCAGCGCCGATCGGTCTGTCCAGCAAAAAGTCCACCAAGTACGTGCCGTCCTTCCTTCCCCCTTCCGCCCTGGATGCTCCCCCTAAACCCAAGGCCTTTGACGACGCCGACGAGGTAACCGTCCCCTCGGCCCCCGCTCCATGCACCACTCCACCCCACCCTCATCCAGACCACCCATCAGACATTCGCACCTATGCTCCATCCAGCCTCCGCACTCTCCTCCTCCATTAATGCTACACCCATGTATGTGTGTGCTCTAGTCCAATTGCACCCAGGGAATCTTTTATTCGCTCGCTGCGTCGCGTCGTTCCTATGTTATCTCCCCAACTGCTCTCCGTTCTTGTGCGTGCGTCTATCCGACCAGTCGGAGCGAGGGTGCGCGGTTTCATCCGCCCATCCGTCGTGTCGTTAGCTGTGCTCTCTCGAATGTGTGGGTCGTGCATATCTGCGTCCGCTGGCAGCGCGGTTGACAAACCCCCCGTGGCCTTTAGTCTGTGTTCCAAGCGCCAGCGAAGAAAACGGAGAAGGACAAGCCGCGTAACATTGATAAGATGTTGGAGCAGCTTAAACGGTAAGGAGGCAAAGGTGCGACGTGACACGGCGCGCCGCGGCGGAAACGCCGAGGCTGGCCGGTCAATAAAGGTCGCGAATAGTAGGGAGGGTAGGAGTGGGAATCTGTGTGCGGGGTGCATTTGCGGAGGGATGCCGCCTGGTGGAAGGGTAGTACGTAGGAGGGTTTTAAGGAGACGGGGCGATACAGTTGGGTGAGGTCACAGCAAGTTGCAAGAATGAGAACGGCCTTCAGGGGTTCTGTGTAGCCCTTGCGGACTAGGGGAGGGGAGGGACTGGGAGGCGGGCATGTGGGAGCGAGGTTGGGGGGGTGAGTGGGTGGGTGGGTGGGTGGGAGACTAGAGGCGTTTGAGTGCCTCCAGCAGGGAAGGGGAGCGGGAGTGGGCCAGCCGCTAGAGGGTTGGGTGGGTGGATC